TTCATCCCAGCTGTGTGTTACTTAAGACCTCAGCAGCTTGCCCCCTGGGCTGGTTCTGTAGCCAACACCCCTGCTGGAACACGCGACCCTGGCTGCCTTCGGCCTCTGCTGCCAGCAATGGCCCAGGTCTGGGAGAGAACTGTGTCTGTATCAGGGTTGCCCATAATGAACTGATGCTCAACACCACTCATACTTAAAGAAACATAAATGCAAACAATACCCAGAAATCGTTCTTACCTGTCAGACGGACAGTGATTAAAACTCTTGATGATACAAGGTCTTGGTGAGCTTGAGGGCAAACACTGCACTTATAAGTCACTGTTGGGGTATGCCACGGACCTATCTTTTCAGGGGGTAATCTGTCAATGTATATTCAAATTTTTAAATGCTCATGCTTTCTCCTACCAGTTGCATTGCTAAAAATTTCACACAAATGTATTCACAGATGTACACCAAGAAAAATGTACAAAAATGTACAAATCCTGCAGAATTGGTTGCAATAGCAACAAACTGGATACTGATTAAATGTTTCTCAATAAGGTTCTGGTTAAAAACATTTAAGGGACAGCCATACAGTGGAATTATGCAACCACTTTAAAAAAAAAAAAGAGGTCAATCTTGTATGCTGAAGTAAAAACCAACAGCAACTCTAAGATATAATATTAAATAAAAAAAGGAAGGAGAATATAAAATGTTGACATATCGTTTGGAAGGGCAGACAAATATTATTGTTATTTTCCTAACAATATACATATAATCTAAAAAATGGTAGACCATTTCCTTCCTTTTTCATACTTTTTGATATAAGACATTTTTTTTAAGTGAGCCTTTATGTACATCAAGTTGAAAGATGTCTGTGACAGACTGCATTTTCCAAAAATGGCCAGAGCAATATTGCCAATTCCACGTGCCCTTCTAGAACCTTGTTATTCCCCGCCGGAAGGTAGTTTATTCTTTTCCTCTGGGACTTGGGTAGAACTCTGTGACAGCCTCAACAACTAAAATGCCATGGGAGTGACAGTGTGTGGCTTCTGGGGCTATGCAAAAATGGCCATAGAGCTTCTGCCTGGGCTGTGCTCGCTTGGAATGCCTGCCCTTGGAACCTGGCCCCCATCTGTGAGGAATCCCACCCTAACCCACAGGTCACTGGTGTTGAGTATACTCACAGAGTTTTTCAAACATCACCACTATCTAATTCTACAGCATTTCTGTAACCCCCAAAAGACCCTCCTATACCACCCACTCCCCTGCCCCCATGCCATGGCAACCACTGATTTATTTTTTCTCTCTGTAGATTTTAGACATTTGCTATCAATGGAACGTTGCCTCTTGTGTCTGGCTTCTTTCACTTCGCCTACTGTTTTCAAGGTGCATTTGTGCTTCATCCCTTTTTATGGCTGGATAATGTTCCATTGTATGGATATACCATGTCTGTTTTTATACACAGACCAGCTGATGGACATTGTTTCCACTTTTTGGTAATTAGAAATAATGCTGCTGTGAACATTCACACACAAGTTTTTGTACAGACGTTTTGAAATTTCTTAACGTTCAAGTCCTTATAAATTACCTGTTGATATTAAATGATACATAATAATTAAATGATACTGAATAATAATGATACACAATTAAGATATTTCTTATTCATTACAGCAGGTTCCCTAAGAACAGCAACATGTTTCCTCATGGTAGCTCAGATGTAATACAGAACACCTAAAGTAATAAAATGGCACTATTTTGAACACTGATTCTTGATAATTTACACAAACCTTCCACCAAATCAGTCTTAAGTAATAAGACACCACTTTACTGTCTCTATTTAAAAATAACTAGGGCTAGGATGTGGTCTTCAAAATTCCTCTCTGCATGTTCCAAAATGAAAGCCTATCATTTCAGTTTGACATACAGGAGGGACTGGAGTCTCTTCAGGAATATGGGATTTGACTTAGAATTCCTGTGAATATAGAACCTTGGGCTGTGCTGTGACTTAATCTGTTTGGGTTTATCTAATAAAAGTTCAGTAAAAATAGGCTACATTTGAAAAATAAATTCTGGGTTACATAAAAGCTCTCTTACATGGGAGTTTGGGCTCACTTTTAGAGCCTCCGCCAGTAGACCATCAGGCAAATAAAAACCTTTGCCAGGTTATGCATCCGCAGGCACCATGTCCATTCAGGGCACCCCACTTTTCTCCCAGCACCCCCTGCGGGCTTCTCCAGCAAGCCTCGCCGTGGCCTGTGAGTTTGCTTGTGTGCTTCCCGTAAATTGAATATGGAGCCGAGATGCTCCTTTTGGGCGGTTGCTGCAGGGGCCACTTGTAGAGAAGAAACCACACTAATAATAAGAAAGTGTGGTTGTTTTCTCCAACAGAAAATTACCAGTTTGCTTGGTTTCCATGCTTGGCACCAAGTCTTGGGTTCCTCATCACTGAACAGACTTCTTTCCACTTGGCTTTCTCTCAGCCAGTATCCTGGCACACCATCAAAAGGGAAAATAATTAGAAAGAAGTGTTTTAGAGGGATGAGAGGCACTGGTAGCTTCCCAGATGGGGATAATCATGGATCTTCAAACAAATCCCTGACCAGGCGGTAGCATTATTTGTCTTCTTGCTTACATCAACTCGATCAGTGTTCACACCTCCTGAAACATGTGTGCACTGAGAACAGAATGCTTGCTGCTTTCCTGCTCTTCAGAGGAACCCTGTAGTGGCTCTTGGGTATACAAGAAGTGACCCAGCTGTGGTTAGCCCCAGAGAATTTTCCAAGAACTCCCCTCATCTTATCAGTTATTATGTTGCTGTGGGATATAAGGTCCATCTTATTCTTTTTAATATGTTTTATTGATTATGCTACTACAGTTGTCCCCTTTTTTCTCCCCTTTATTCCCCTCGGCCTTGCAACCCCATCCCACAAGGATCGCCCACCCTTAGTTCATGTCCCTGGGTCATACACATAAGTTCTTTGGCTTCTCCGTTTCCTATATTATTCTTAACCTCCCCTACTTTGTACCTACCTTCTTATTTTTAGTTCGCTCATGATTCAGGTAATGCGAGCGTGGGGTGGGGAGAAACAGCTTTATTATTTTTGTGATTCTTGCTCAATGTAAACATATCAGAGTACAGACATGTAGTTAAAAAGCACCTGACATCTCATCTTTCTGAGGCAACAAGTGTAACACTTTGGTGAGCATTTCTAGTAATCTGTTTGATGTGGAGAATGATTCATACAGCATTTCTCAAATATATTTGTGAGCATGGTGTTCACTTGTGTTCATCCAGAAGCGGACCCTGAGACAAGGATCGGGAGGTGTTTCAAACAGGAATGGGGAGTGGGGAAGTAAGGGAGGGGGAGGCAGCCAATTAAGGATGGCTCTTGTTAGCTGGTAGTATGGTGGATGGCGCTTAATCCCACAGAAAAACTCTGGGAAATGGTGTGGAACACGTGCCTCAGAGATAGATCATTTGAAGGGCAAGTGGAGATGTCAGCAGGAAGTTGAAAGTAGGGGTTTGGAGTTCAGGAGAGGTCCAGAACGGATGTAAATTGCAGAATTTCTCAGCAGACAGATGGTTGGAGCTGCCAGGCTGGTTGAGATCTCCAGGAAAGCAAGCTAAAGAGAAAAGTTGCCTGGGACTGAACCCCGAGCCCTCAGGGAGACGGAGGAATGAGCAAAGGAGGCTGAAAGAGAGCACCCAGAGGTTGGTGTCTTGAAAGTTCTTCTAGGAGTGGGGAGTGGTCATCTGGAACAGAGGCACGACCGCATTACCTGTCTGGGCACATACCGAGCCTTTGTCTGGATGGGGTCAAGATGTCCTGCACATTCAATGATAACCTTGAAAGTAACATCTACCACCACCAGATAATTGACTGAAAGCCTCCAGGAACTTCAGGGCATTAAGGGGCTATGTATTTAGTCATGTATGTCCCCAGTGCGGGGAAATGTACTGAGACACCTTTCAACCCAGGGAAAAAAAATATAAGTGTATACATGTGCTACATTTATATAGATGTACATACCAAAACACTCTCTATACAGATATATTGGATACATATGTACACACAGGTGGTTTTGGATCAATAGTATTACACTATATAAACAGATCTGCAACTTAATTTTCTTCCCACTAAATCTATTGGGAAGAGTGCTCTGTGGCAATAATGTCTGTCTGCTCCCATTATTTGAATGGTTGCATAGTACTTCGTTGTATACATGTACTATAATTAATTCTCCATATATTTTTCCCAATATAGAATTCTAAGTCATATAGCAAAGGGCATTTAGTGCATTCACCCTTCCACACCTGTGTGGTCATCTCCTTGGGATAAACTCTGGAAGTGCAGTTGCTGTGTGCAAGGCATGCATGCCCTGCTAATGGCCTCATTCAAGACTCTTCCTGCCAGTTCCAACGATCTGAGATGTATTCAATACAGAACAGCCAATGCCCTCAAGGAAGGACCACTGGGGTATCATTCCATGTGGACCCTATTCTACAACACAGGGAGGGCACAGGGCAGCCATCTGGGTAATCGCTGTTAGAAATAGGGCAGAGGTTTGGGTCAAGTCAGAAAAGTCCGCGACAGAAAGCCATCTGTCAGTACTAGCCCTCGGCTGACGCGAGGAGCTGCAGCTGACTTCCGAGCGTAAAACCACTTCTTTTCCACACAGCGCAGAGCAACTATCCAGGCCTGCAGACTCTGCGGCAGAGCCACTAAGAGCTTATTACGTCAATAGCAAATGCAGCAGACTGTAATTAACTCCAAATCTGTCTCCACACTTGATTTTTGCTGGCTGGATTTGTCATCTTGCTGTTAGAACAAGCCTATAACATGCCTCAGATTTTTTCCCTTTACCTTGTCATTTGGAGCAGAGGCATGACTCCATCACCTGCCTGGGCATGTACCCAGTCTTTGTTTGGAGATACCTTTCAACGCAGGGGGAAAAAAAAAAGGACACAGAGCCATGCCTTGGACCCATTTATTGCCACCTCTGGGTGGGTCTGTAAAAGCACTGAGCCCATGACTCAGGACCCACCGCCGGTGCTTGGCCCTTGGAAATCGTAGCTCTGCAGCACTCATTCAGGGAGAGCTAGGTTCCTATGCTGGGTTCTTAACCATTAAGCAAACACACAATAATGTTCCTGATAGTATAAACTTTTAAAAAGTTTCAGATCCGTGTGATCTGGCTGCACGCTCTTCCCTCCCACAGTCCAAGGGCTTTACCATGTGATGCCCCTTTGAGAGCCCCATCTACACGCACGGTTCAGCCACCAGCACTGTCTCCTCCCCTTCTGCTTCATCAGCAGTGTTCCGTCCCATCAGGAGGCCAACAGAAAGGGTTCTCTTGTGTGTTGTGGCTGAGATAAAAGTCACTTTACCCCAAGGATACAGCAGGTAGAAGGCAGCCTAAAAAATTCACACTAAATTCCATTCCTCAAATGACCGTATGTTACAGTTGATTATAAGATAATTGCCTCCTGACCTGTAAGCCTCCGCATGTTTAAAATCAGGGCCTGGAAATGAACACCACTTGGTCTTTCTCCCTGGCCCAGCTCCGCCTGGGCTGCCTGCGGCCTGTCCTCAGAACGCTGTGTAGTAGCGCTCCATTGTGCTGACGATGTCACTCTGGTCCTCCAGGAACTCCAGCACTTGCTGCAACACGGGCTCACTCAGGCCCGGGCTGATGCTCAGGCGAGCACAGGCCAAGATGTGCCGGAAGTGGCAGCCCTTCTCCATGTCTGCAGGAAACAAGCAGCTGGCTAAGCTTGGACACATCAGTCAGACACCCTTTCTCCTCTCCCTCTAAATCAGAGCCCTCTCAGTACGCACATTGAAGTCAGAGACATGCTGGTCTAGATTATCAGAAAGCCAAACCAAACAAAACGCCATGTTCTCAGGTCTCTGGGCCCACTGCTCAGGGACTGAAGCCTTCAACTTTCAAGGATTCCCAATCAATAATTTTGTATCCGTAACTTAAGAGTTTAGTGCTTTTTGCTCTAATGCCATTACATGTATTAGTGCATGTACTCCGTGCTGAAGCCCTAGCTCCCCAGGCAGGAGCCCACTTGAGACTGAGAGCAAAGCCAGCGTGCGGCAGCCTGCCTCTCGCAGGTCCCGACTGATGGGGCCGCCCTGGTGACGAAGGGACTGCTAGCTTTGCGCTGCTTCATTCCCCTCAGCACAGGCTTCCAAGGTTTGTCCCCAACAGTGGTGTCTTAGCAGCCTCTTACTCTCTCTCTGACCAATGCTAAGACTATTGGGTGTACAGTTGTGATCAAAGCTCAGGATGAGCCACCTTTCTCCTAGCGGAAATCAATGATTCAGTGGTACCGCACCTCAGGCTGTGACCACTAGAGGGTCGTGACTGACTGGGTTGTGATTAGCATTCTCTTTCTTACCAAACAGAGTGAAGGAGAAAATTACAGAATGTACTACTTTACAGGCAGAACGAGTCTTATTCTGGGTAACTATTTCTAAATATAGTTTACAGCTATCTATTGCATTATAATTCTATAATTTGAGTCATGATGTAAAATGTGTGCATAACTCCGAGTTAAAGTCGAACCACCGTACTAAAAACAAACTCTCCCCAGTTTTCACCTTATAGCCCCATGGTCTCTCATGTTCTACACAGTCACTGAGTGTTTTCAGGCGCCGTTTTAAGCTCCAGGAAGGTGCACGAAGAGGTATCATGGTATTGGGCAAAGCATAGTTTGGGAGTGGGTGCACCCTTGTGGCTTTGGGCAAGTCATAGTACCTTTAAGTTTCAGTTTTCTCACCTACGGAAAGGGAGGTGGGGGAAGGGGTGGAGGCACCTGTGAGATCCTTTCCAGCTCAAAGGCTCTGAGACTATCACAGGCAGAGGCCTGCGCTAACAAAGACCTGCTCAATTCTGACCTCTAGTGGCTCTGTCAACTCCTTACTCCTCCCAGTTGGGGTCACTGTGGAAAACTTGCCACCTCCACATTTCCAGTCTGTTTCTTCAACATTCATTTGATAAAGATTTCCTGAACACTTACTGTGTGTATAGTTTTTTTTTTAAAAGGGGGGGCAGATAAAGAGTGCAGATGGAGAGCTGACTCTGGAGTCCAGAGACCCAAATTCAAGTCCAGGTTCTTTGCATCTCTCAGTCTCCTCATCTGTTAGATGCGAACAAAATCACCTACTTCACCAGTGGTCACATGGATTTAAGGAGACTGGCAGCAGGTGCTTCTTACATGGGGTATGACTATGATTCTATTGTCATAGCCATAACCTAAGATGCTCATAGCTTAGTCCCTGCTCTAAAGACGCATCAACTCTTCCCGGAGGCCTTATGTTATTTTTTCAGAAAGGCCAGCCTGCGGTCTAAGAATGTCTGATAAGGCTGTTCACAAAGAGACTGTTCGGTTACACAGAAAGGAGGACTGGTTTTAGCTCTTCTTTAAATGTAGAATTTGCCCCTGAAGCCATCAGGTCCAGGACTTTCCTTTGCTGGGAGATTTTTAATTACCAATTTCATCTCCTTACTAGTTATAGATCTATTCAAATTTTCTATTTTTCTGTGGTTTAGTTTTAGTAGGTTTTATGTTTCTAGGAATTTGTCTGTTTCATCTTGTGTACATTTTATTTCTGCAGAATCAGCACTGATGTCATTTTTATTTCTGATATTAGTGATTTGAGTCCTCTTTTCATTTCTTAGTCCATCTACCTAAAACTTTGGCAAATTTGTTATCTTTTCACAGAACCAACTTCTGGTGTTGAAGATTTTCTCTATTGTTTTTCTATTCTCTTTTTTATTTATTTTTGCTCTAATAATTGTTTCCTTCCTTCTGATAGCTTTGGGTTTAGTTTCTTCTTCTTTGTCTAGTTCCTTAAACTGTAAAGTTAGGTTGTTGAGATCTTTCTTGGTTTTTTAATGGTTTTAGCTATTAAGTCCCCCTTAGCACAATTTTCACTGTGTCCCACATTTTGCTAGATTGTGTTTTTGTTTTCAATCATCTCTAAGTATTTTCTAATTTCCTTGTGGTTTCTTCTTTGATTTATGGGCTGTTTAAGAGTGTTTAGTTTCCACTAATTTATGTGAATTTTCCAGCTTTACTTGTTACTTCTAACTTCATCCCATTGTGGTCAGAGAAGACACTTTGTATGATATCTATCTTTTTGAATCCATTGAGATCTAATTAGTGGCCTAACATATGGTCTACCCTGAAAATTGTCTCATGTACATTTGAGAGGAATGTGTATTCTGTTATCAGGTAGTAATTTTTATACGTCTACTAGATATAGTTTATTTATTGTGAAAACTTCTCTATTTCCTCTTTTATCTTTTCTGATTTTTCTATCCATTTTAGAGAGTGGGGTGCTGAAGTGTCTAACTATTGTAGAATTATATCTCTCCCTTCAATTTTGTCAGTTTTTGCTTCATATATCTTGATGGTCTCTCATTAGGTACACAAATGTTTATAATTCTATCTTCTTGGTATATTGACTCTTTCACCGATGCACAATGTACTTATTTCTTGTAATCTTTTATGACTTAAAGTCTATTTTATCCAATGTTAGTATAGCCGCCCCTGCTCTATTTTGGTTACTATTTTACATCGGATATTTTCCCCCCATTCTTCACTTTCAATATATTTGTGTCTTTGAATCTAAAGTGAGTCTCTTATAGACAGCATACAGTTGGGTCATGTGTTTTTTTTTAATCTTTTCACCAACTTCTCTTTTGATTGAGTTTAATCTGTTTATATTTAAAGTAATTACTGATAAGAAGGGACTTATTTCTGTAATTTTGCCATTTGTTTTCTATATGCCTTATACCTTTTTGTCTCATTTCCTGCATTACTGCCTTTCATGTTTAGTTTTTTTTTTCCTAGGGAAACATTTAAATTCCTTTCTCATTTCCTTTTCTTCATATTTTTTAGCTACTTTCTTTGTGGTTACCATAGGAATTACACCAAACATCCTAAAATTACAACACCCTAATTTGAATATATTCCATCTTAACTTCAATAATATACAAAAACTCTGCTCCTTTGTAGCTCTGTCCCTACCTCTTTCAGCTGATGTCACAAAATTATATATTTATATATTATGAGCTTAAGAACATAAACTAATAATTCTTTTAAATACATTAATCTCTTAAACTATGTGGGAAAAAATGTGGAGTTACAAACCAAAGTTAAAATAATATAAATTTCTAGACTACTTCTTTTTTGTTGTTTAAAAAGTATATTATTCTCTAAAATTATGTAGAAAACAAAAAGGGGACTTACAAACCATTGTTACAATGATATTGGCTTGTACAATTGTCCGAATATTTACCTTTATTGAAATATTTATTTCTTCATATGGGCTCAAGTTACTGTCTAGTGCCTTTTCATTTCACCCTGCTGGGCTCCTTTGAGTATTTCCTGCAGAGCAGGTCTAGTGGTAACAAACTCCCTCAGCTTTTATTTATTGTGGAATGTCTTCATTTCTCCTTTACTTTTCAAGGATGGTTTTTCTGGATATAGGATCTTGGTTCCGTTTTTTTCTTCAGCACTCTGATTACGTCAGCCTATTGCCTCAGGCCTCCAAAGTTTCTGATAAGAAACCTGCTGCTAATCTTACTGATGATCCCTCATATGTAACAAATTGCTTCTCTCTTGCTGCTTTCAAGATACTTTGTCTTTTAAAAGTTTGATTAAAATGTGTCTTGGTGTGGTCTCCTTGAGTTTATCTTACTTGGAGTATATTGAAATTTTTGGATATTTATAGTCATGTCTTTCATGAAATTAGGGAAGTTTTCAGCCATCATTCCTTCAAATATTCTCTCTTCATCTTCTGGGACTCACACAATGCATATGCTGGTCTACCTCATGTTATCCCATTTGCTCCTTAGTCACTGTTTGCTCTTGTTCAACTGCAAGTTTACTGATTCTTTCTTCAGCCTCTCAAAATCTGCTTTTGAATCACTGTAGTAAATTCTTCATTTCAAAATGTTATTGTACTTTTCTGCTCCAAATTTTTATATATGAGATCTCTCCAGAAGGTATCCCGCCAAGTAATAAGAAAATTAGAGACATTTATTGAAGAAGATACAAGATACAAGAAACATTGTACATAGGACAATGATACTTCAGTCCCCTTCAGAGTAGGCACCTTAGGACCTCACACAGTTCTCCCTGGCATCATCAGCTGCCCCATCATATTTTCCTGAATCTCACTGATGACCTGAAATCTCTTCCTTTTCTAAGGTGATTTTAAGTTTTGGGAAAATCCAGAAGTTACAGGGCGCTAAATCTGAGCTGTAGAGTGGCTGAGTCACCAGGCTGATTTGATGTTTCACCAAAAGCTCTGTACAAGACATGATGCATGAGTAGGTGTGTTGTTGTGATGAAGCTGCCAATCACCAGTTGCCCATAGCTGCGGTCTTCTGAATCAGCTGACTGGTTTCCATGGGGGAATGTTCAAGCTTAATGCAAACTTTGATGCAGATTTGTTGCTCTACTCGCTCAGTCATTTTGAATGCTACAGCCACAGAGTACACATACTCACTCAGCAGCATCTACCACTCCCACTGATTAGTACAATGAAGTTGTCATTGTTCACACATGCACATTGCAGTCCACTCTCCTTGGCTGCCAGGTTACATCAATGTTGCACAAACTGTTCCTGTTATATTGACAAGAGCTGGACTTTTTCGATAGACCTATATTTTTAGGTTTTCTATCTCTGTATATTTCCATTTTGTTTGACCATTTTCTTTCTTTCTTTTTTTTTAGGTAAAACCCCCATATGCATTTATTTATAGGTCTTACTTAATACAGCAAAATGTTAAAGAAAATTGAGAACACTGCTCATTTTTCTCATTTAATTTGACATATAAAATGGAATTCCTTCAGAAAAAAAGATTTGCATGAAATTTACCTTACCTATGATTTATGCTCTAAGAGTACATTTCATAAAAATCAGCAATGAGGCTTCCTTTATGTTTAACTTGAAATGAACATGATAAATATAAATGAATAACTTTCTTTTACGTAGTAGCAAAAAGAGTCAATAATCCTTTCAAGAAAGAGACTATTTCATTTCCTCCCAACTTGGATTCACCGTAAACACAATCCACAAATGATATTGGTATCTCACCAATAGTATAATTCAACTGCCTTACCCGAACAATCATTTCCATCTGGAAGACATAGCCTTTAGATACACATTTTTCTATTAATTTCTGTAGAACTTCTTTTCGGTATAACCTGAAACTTCCTGTTAAATCAGATGCTCCTGGTCTCAGCAAAATCTGAGTTTTAAAATTGGCCCTGCGGCTGATTAATTTTCTTTTCAAATCCCAGCCATAAACACCGCCATTTCCTTTGTAGCGAGTTCCAGAGACAATGTCAAAATTACCTTCCCTTTGCTTCCTAATGAATTCAGGAATAAATTTTGGATGGTGTGAGAGATCGGCATCCCTAATAATTATGCAATTTCCAGTGGTATGCTTCATTCCATGAATATATGCAGTTCCTAGTCCCAACTTTTTTTCCCGTGGTCTTAGAAGAATTTTTGTCCAAACCATGGATCTTCTCCAGCTGTTCAGCAACGACCCTTGTTCCATCTGGGCTTCCATCATCTATGATTATAATTTCATAATTGATTTCACTCTCCGAGAGGCTTTTCACAAGTAGCCACACGATGAGCGGTAGGTTCTCGCGCTCGCTGTGGGTGGGCAGTAGCACCAAATACTTGTCCTGTTGTGGGTCACGTCCCTCTGGCCCCCGATGAGACTTCAGAGGAGTATGACTCGCTTCCTTGGTGGCCATGGCGGAACGTGACCATTTTCTTGACTTTCTCCATATCTTCCTTCCGTTCCCTGAGCATCTTTAAGACAGTTATTTTAAAGTTTTTGTCTAGTATATCTGCCATTAGGTTCTTTTCAGGAGCACTTTCTGTTGATATATGTATTTTTTTTTCATTTGAGTGGATAATACTTTTCTGTTTCTTTGTATGTCTTGTGATTCTTAGTTGAAAATTGGACATTTGAACCTAACAATGTGGTAAGTTTGGAGCTCAGATTCTCCCCCTTCCCCAGGGTTTGCTGTTGTATGTTATTATTATTATTATTATTATTATTATTATTATTATTGTCACTGTGTCAAGGATCAGACTGACATGTAAACTTAAGATCTTTTCTTATGCCTTTTAAGCCTAAGAAAAAGTCTTAAGGACTTTTTCTAAGCCTGTGTCTTTCTCTGGGCATGTGTGGTCACTTTCTAGTTTCTCTCCTATATGTAGTACCTTTTGGACGCACGAGTCTTTCTTTTCTGGTTCCCACAAAAAAGAGAAAAAGAAAATAAAGAGGGTGGAAAAAAAAAAAGAGCAGCAGTACTTCTCCTGGAAGTCACTTCAGATGTTGGGGGAGGGGCTTGCAACATTGGGACAAAATGCAACAATGGCCACCCACCTCTTTATCTGTCCCTCTGTAATCAGAAGCAACAATGAACAGAGCACAGATCCCTTATATTTTGAGGATGGGCTCTTTTTTGCCTTCTCAAGCTCCTGCAAGCTCTGTGCAAGATGCTCCAGAAACAAATGCACAGCTGTCCACTGTGTAGCTGGGGTGAGGGATAGGTAGCTCTTACCAAGAGGTGAGCACTGACTGCAATTAACACCAATTTACTGTCCTTTGGAAGCTTCAAGCCTTCAATAGCCTTCAGAGTTCCAAAACAGTTACATCAGACAGATGCAATTGTTGCCTAAATGGACAGATTCCTAGTGCTTCTTACTCGACCATCTTCATAATGGTTTTATAAAATACCAATTTGTTTAATCCTCATAACAATCTATCATATAGGCAATGTTATCCCCATTTTACATATAAAGAAACTGAGGCACAGACTTACCCAAAGTCACACAGCTGCAAAGTGGCAGAGCTGAGATTCAAACCCAGGCAAGGTAGCCCCAGAGCCCAGCCCATTACAGCTATGCTGTGCTGCCCATCTTTAGAGAAACCCAGTCCCAGTGCTTTAGGAACCTAAAACGAGCCTCCTGTTTATGGTCCTTTTATTATTGTGCGTTTAACCTTTGCTGAAATACTCATAAATGACTAAAGATTTTAAGTTCTCTCACTAATCATCCTGACAAGGAAAAACTCAACGCTATATTCTGCATGAAATGTCAGTAATGAACAAAAGATCTAGGAGGAATGGTTAAATAAATGGTCAAGTATCTATTTATATACATAATGGAATGCGGTGCTATTAAAAAGACTGAGACACTTTTATATGTACTGTTGCCAGATGACCTCTAGAAGCCAATGTTAAATTTAAAATATAAAGTGTAGAACACTGAGTACTGTATGCTAACCTTTACTTGTACCTTTTTAAAAAGGGTAAACTATATAAATGTACTCCCAAGTGTATATGCATCCCTAGAAGCATATGAAGGAAACCAGAACACCTACTGCCTTTGAAAGGGGAATGCAAAGCTTGGGTCTCAGTGCTGTGAGGAAGCCTGACTTTTCTGTGTGTATTTTTGCACTGTTTGACTTTTTATCATGTGCATACATTATTATTCAGAGTAATTTTGTTAATGTCACAGATATTTCCTGTGAAAAGGAGTAGTTGCAGTAGACTCCCAGAGAGTCTCCAAAAGGTATTTTTATTGGCATCCTCAGTTATTCAAGCTCCAGAATTCAGCTCCTGGGAGTTTACCAGTTCTGGGGAATTGTTTATGGATTTTAGAGGCTCCCACTTACAGACTCGGCGACAGAGGCTGTCCACCGTGACACACACGTTCTCCAAAGCAGGAGCTGACCCATGGATTAGAAGTGGATATAAAAGTCTGCCACTTTACAGACTCTCAGATCACTGAGGCTATTTGGTTCTCCTAAGAAATAAAGTGTAAATTGCTTTTATTTGCTGCACCAGGCCTTAGAATTATTGCAATCCATCCTGTTCCTAATGCAGATCAAAACAAGAGCCTGGCCAAGCGGCCTGGAAATACGATGAGTACAGGGATGTTACACAGGGAACAGCCTCTTACCCCTTCTTGCTTGAGAAATCTCACATTCCACTGCTCTTAAAAGCTCCTCAAATTGTGGATGGACAGATTCTTCCGCCACCCCCCTACCCCGCCAACTAAAGGATATTTGTTCTTATTGCTCTGTATGCAGTGAACAACCAGAAACCTTGCATTCAGATGACTGGTTACTTTAAGTTTATTTTAAGATCTGTCATCATGCAACTCTGGGTTCTGACCTCATAGGTTCTCAAAGGTTAAATAGGGCTGCGTATCAAACACGAGGGCCAAAGACCTGGTCCAGCTCTACCCTGTGACTCAGCCTGGAACACGTTCAGGCCTCAGGGATGTATGGGCTAAAAGGACTGGAGGTGGACTTGTTTGGAGGGAAAGAAAGTAGGATAAAGAGACCTGCAGTGATTAACAAGTCTTTTCACTTTTCATCTAGTGTCGTTCGTTGACATATGCCATTTGTTATTAGCAGATGCTTGCAAAAGATATATTTTGAAGAGTCACCTTCTCCCTGGCTGGTGTGGCTCAGTGGACTGAGTGCCAGTCTGCAAATCAAAGGGTCACTGGTTCAATTCTCAGTCAGAGTACACGCCTGGGTTGCAGGCCAGGTCCCCTGTAGGGGGCGCACAAGAGGCAACCACACATTGATGTTTGTCTCCCTCTCTTCCCCTCTTTCTAGAAATAAATAAATAAAATATTTAAAAAAGAAAAAGAAAAAGAAAAGTCACCTTTAAGACTGATCAGTTTTTATAAAATTTAAAGATAGGACTAATGCTTTTTTCTCTTTCTAACCAGTATGAAAATGGTAATTCTGGTAAAGATAGTCTGTTGTCAGACTATCTACAGTTTAAGTTTCTGGCCACTAGGGGCTGACCTAACTCCACTAAAACCAACTATTTTCCAAACCAGTTTTGCAAATTATTAGGTTTCAGGATGACTGAATTACACTCTTCATAAACTGTAATGTCTAGAACCATTCCTGCCAACACTGAAGGGCTTGAGGTCAAAAGAGAGGAAAATTTCAGGTCTGGATTCAAAGACAAAGGGCAAGAGTAGAACAAGAAATAACACAGGCCAGAGAGAACATCAGAACCAGAGGGACCTCAAAAAGTCCTGGCCCTGTGGCTTGCCTCACTGTACCGGCATCACCTGAGGCGCTCACCTGTCACGTCCCGCCCTCCCCCTCGTAAATCAGAATCCCCCGCAGTGGGATCTGAGCACCACATGTTCAAAAAAATCTCCATGGTTGCATTTTATGTGCAGCCCAGGTCAGGACGACTGTGCAACCCTAACGTCCACTTTGGAGAGGAGGAACCTGGGGCTCTGAGAGGGCAGGCGTCTTGATCAGCCATACTTCCAAGTTGCTATGGGGGAAAGCCCCAGGCTCCTGACTCTCCGTCCAGTGCTCTCTGGGCGGGAGTATTCCCTTCTCGTGCATCAGGACACATGTACATGGCGCCACTTACGGTTTGGTTTCTGGCAGTCTTCCTGAATGATACGGTGGATCTTTCTGTGCAGTTCTTTGTCCTCTCTGGTTACCTAAATAGAAAAAAAAGATCAGAGAGAACGTGTTCTTAAGAAACCCAGAGGTTCTATCATCTCGACTCCCAAATTAGTATTTAAGATAGTTTCTACAGACTTCATAACAATCATCATTCTGACACCAACAACATGGTTTTTGATGCTGGGCCTATTGTCAAGCCACTTCTGACCCTCAGCTGCTTGCTGCTCTGTCGCTGACCCAGAGGTGCACTCTTCGGGAGCTGGGCCACTGGGACCATGTTGTAAAGAGAAACTGGAATACTTTAAGCAGCAACTTTCTTCTTAAATATTCATAACACATTCATAAAATTTCTCCTATTTGTTCTATTTTTGAGGGAGGCACAAGTGACCAAAGTCTCTGATCTCAACCCCAGGACTCTTTCCTCGGGGCTCTGACACCTGCCTCATGTTTCATTAGTTTTATTCCTTTTTCCAACCACAAGGAAAAACAAAAGAAGTAAGACTGTAAGGAAAAGCTAGCAAGGGAAAAAATCGAGTCTATCTCTTGAGGCCCTTTCTGTCTTCAAGGGCAAACCTAACCTAGTTCCTTTCTCACCCAGCTCAGGTAAGAGGGAAGCAGCAGCCAAATGGGTCCCCCTTCATGTTCAGTAGTAAATCTAGTAACAAAACAAACAAACAAAAAATAGAAAGGCAAAAAGAGGAAGGAAAAAGGAAGGAAAAGAGGAAAAAAGGACAAAAAAAAGAAGCATGCAAACAAACATATAGGGTGGGGGGCAAAAGTAGGTTTAAAAGTTGTTCATATGGAAAAAGAATAATTAATAAATAATAACAAGAACAAACTGTGTTGCCCTGGCTGGGTTGCTCAGTAGGTTGGAGCATCGTCCTGTACATATAAATGTGGTGGGTTCAATCCCTGCTTGGGACGCATACCAGAGCCAACCGACTGATGTTTCTCTCTCTGTCCCTTCCTCTTTTGAAAATCAATAAAAACATATTCTCTTGTGAGGATTAAAAAAAAAAAGAAGAATCAACTGTGTTTTGTGTACCCACAACTGTAAGCTCACTTTTGCTCCACCCAGCCTATCCGGAGTGCTTGTTTGGTGGGACTTACAGAGTGACTGTATTTAAGAATGGGGACACTGATAATACCTGCCTTTCACAAGGTTACTGTAAAGATTAAATACGGTAACGTGGGTGAGAGCTGCTGAAAGCAGGAAAGCGCTATACAAACAGAAATAGCTACATTACTGTGATAACTATTTCACTGAGGCCAGGCGGCTATATTGAAAGGGGAGGAGTGAAGTCAGAGAAGGCGGTGGTTCTAATGAGGAATAAAAGAGTAATTGTTTCTTGATCACCCCATTCCAGCTCACACTGATTCACACGAGGAAGCGCCCCAGCCCTGCCACACCTCAGCCATGGCTACTGCCCGTGGTCCTACTGATCCTCAGGAGGGGCTGCTTTCAACAGATGCAGTTGGCCAATCCCAGGGGCAATGCGACTAGGTGGTGGGTGGGGACAGGTTGGGGGCTGCTAAGGCAAGCTGCCCGCCAGGAGCTTCTGCAACCCCACAAGAGGCAACTCACTCCCATCTGATCTTGCCCTCCTGGGGCGGAGTAGACTGTACTGAGCCTCATACAGGTTGGAATACCCTTTTCAAAAGCTATTCAAATAGTATTTAAAACATCTTAAGTTTTTAAAAATGCTATAAAATGGGGCATCACTAGAGAAAATCAATATCAAGAAAATGTCTTATTAAGGAAAGCTTCCCCTCAGGAATCATGCTTGTAAATAGCGAGACTTCTGGGATGCCTCCGAGTTCTGATCTGTCTCCAGGCCAATCACTTGTAGCTGAAGCCACATCCGTGCTACTGATATCAATGGTCAGGAGAGGGGGCCCGACCGCAGCCTGGCTCCTCCCATATCAAAGGTAAGCAGTGAAAGGTGAACTTTTAACTCTGAAAGTATGAGAAGAGCAAGCACTTGCACCCCTAGTGAGAAGGTCGACTGGTACATGCTTTTGGGCGGTCAATCAGGCTGCTGACCAAAAGCTTGCAGGTATACGTCTTTGCTCCAGCAATTCCTTCTTTAAGAGTCGACCTTATAGAAATACCTAAGTTCACAAAAATAGTTGTGCAAAAATAGCCATAGCAACAGTTATCTGTGAGAGCGAAAGTTGGAAACACCATAATTGTCCGCCAGAGAGAAGGGGTTAAAACACTGATGGCAAGTTCCCATAACATGGAATACCACGCAGAAGTGAAAAAGAATTGAGGTCGATTTGTGAGTACGAACATGGAAAGATGGTGTAATGTGCTATTTTGGTGTCCAATAAAAGTTACTGAGCATTATTTAGAGCACTGGTTCTTAATTGTCCCTGGGAACACTTGGCAATGTCTGGGAACAGTTTTGGTTGCCACAACCTGGGTGCTGCTACTAGCATCTAGTGGGTGAAGGCCAGGGATGCTGCTAACCATCCTGTGATGCAAAGGACAGCCCCCACAGCAAAGAATCATCCAGCCCGAACAGTGTTGAGAAACACTGATTTGGAGAAAATAGGTTGAGAAATCCTAATTTAGAGAATGATTGCAATTTTTTGTGAAACGAAAAAAGCCAAAGCAACATATAGTTACATGTGTTTATTTGTAAATGCACACATGTCTAGAAGGATATACTATTAAAAGTGGTACTTTGGGATTCCTTACTTTAGGTACCTCTTTAATGACTGATTTTTAAAAACAGTAAATACGTATTCTTAAGTAATAAATATATTTGTAATTGAAGCTAAGAAGGAAAATCATTAAGATGCAAGTCTCTTACATAGAAGAGGTTATCAAAACTGCCATCCTTCTGGTAAATGAATCCTTTTTCCTGCAGGAGCTTTATAGCATTCTTAAATATACTATGAATTGCCTTAGTAGTGGTGTCATTCTTAAAATCTGCCTGTGGGAAGAAAAAAAAAAAAGAGTGAGTCCCATCTTACAGCACCGGAGAGCAACTCCCTAGACCAACTGGTTTATGAATTCACCCAACAAGCTTTTCACCTGGTGAGTCAAAAAGATCCAGGTATGCACCGGCCTAGCAGGATGGTATTGAAGGACTGGGAAGTTTGCTCCAGCAGAATCATGCGATGCCCGATAACTGTTCTGCCCCTTAGTTAGGACTTTCTTGTTTAATTCAATGATATAAAATGGAAAACTCAAAAGGACATTTTTTTTAATGCAGAACTCAAACACTGTGTACATATTAGCTGGGGTTCTCCCCCGCCCCCCGCCCCATGAAAATCGTGGCTATATACAATCTCACCCTAAGGACATTAAAGAATTTTGCACACATTGCAGTAAGTTGGGGATTCCAGCATGTAGAAGGTATTGAATAGTCTCCTTATTTTAAATGGAGAACAGTGGGGGCAAACAGCCCTGCAGAGACCGGTCAAAGGTGGGTGTGTGGACTAGAGATCGACAGGGGTCCTGGCGTGAAGCAAGACGATCGTACAGAAGGAAGCTCAGCTGCTGCCAGTAAGTTTGCTGTCTCCTCAGTTCAGTATTCCTTCCTTCTCTAGGAGACAGATTTGCCTAGAGAGCTTCCCAGGCCAGCCTATTTTTTGTTCCCAAGGAAGCTAGGTTTCCAGCTATGACCTAAGGTTAACTAGGCTGTGTGGTTCTTGAGTTGGGGACTTTGTATTTCATCTTGGCCACCTTTTCTCCTTGGCACACGGAGGGGGATCAATAAAACATTTGTGTAATCAGCGGAAATATTATAGAGGCTGTGTCCTCTATATTCCATTAGGAATTTTCATTTCATTCCTAAGACAAAGAAAGTGGTGAACAATAACTGTCCTTCAAGGTACAGATCTATTTTTAATGTGACAGAAATTTGTCACTACAGTAAAAAGATCAGAGTACCAAAGAAACGTGGGAAAGCATCCAAAACAGTGTTTGAAGGCCAAGTCCTACCTTCAGCAAAAGGCACCTATGGAGGCTATCTGGGGCAGCACCCAGAAATGCTGAAAAAGACAATGTGCTTGGTACTTGCTGATGATACTTCCTCCAAGTGATATGGGGAGGAAAGAAACCCCCAAATGGCCTCAAGAGTTGACAATACCGTCCCTAAAGAAACCTTCTCTTTCCCGGAGAGGCCCCCAAACAGACATTGTTTCAGTCTAATAGATCCTGGCAATGTTTCACAAATGTGCTCTCCTGGACTGAAGAGCAGAGTCTAAGACTCTTAAATTATAGTCAATGTTTTTCCTTATCAGAACAAGCTGGAGAACCTGGTCGTTAAAACATTAGGGCTTAGCCCTGGCTGGTGTAGCTCAGTGGCTTGAGCACCAGCCTGTAAACCAAAGGGTCATTGGTTCAATTCCCAGTTAGGACACATGCCTGGGTTGAGGGCCAGGCTCCTGGTACAGGGCGCATGAGAGGCAACCACACAGTGATGTTTCTCTCCCTCTCTTTCTCCCTCCCTTCCTCTTTCTCTGAAAATAAATAAATAAAAATCTTAAATATTAGGGCCTAAAAACAGCCAAACATTCCAGGTTATGACAGCACGCACTCTCTGAAGGGAGAATAAGGCTCAGAAATATTTGATGACTCTCATGGGCAGGAAAGTTATCTGGGTGTGTTTAGAATAAATATCTCACCTAGCAATTCTCAGTCACACATCTTTTTATTCAGGGGGCCTTCAGGCAAAGCTGTTTTGAATTTTATATATGAGTTCTTTTACTTAGGGGAAACAACCCAACACAGGCTCCCCCAAAGAACTTTGTAACTACTTAATCTTCATACTTCTAATGAGATTCCATTCTCTTTAGTCAATTTAATATAAGGATCCTAGGGGTTGAGGTAGTATTACATCTCTATTAAGACAGAACTAAATTGGAAACTAACTAGAAATGTTGTTACATAATTATTCCTGTCATTAACAAAGACTCTTGATTATCCCTAGACCATACATAAAGCCTGGTTCCTCCTTCCAGACTCCAGTTAAAATCAAGCAGCAGGAGAGAGGCTGGTAAGGCCTGTGAGCTTAAAAGCAGTTTCAGCTGTGAACAAGGAGGACCCAACAGAAAAGGCTCTCTGTCAATATAAACAACATGTGAAGCTTCCTTTCCAAAAACATTTGCCTCAGCTGACCTCTGGACATATCTGCCTGCTGGTTATAAAGACACAGCCTCAAGGGTAAAACCTCCAATCATCTCTTCTAGTAGCTCTTGTTGGCCTGGGATTTGTGTCTTTCTTGTCTTTTTCTAAAGAGGAATGACAGACTCTTCAGATTCAGGAAACTGAAAGTGCTCAGAGGGAAAAACTGACTGGCTGAAGGAGCGGAGCCTCAGCAGGCCTCTCCTTGTTGCAGGTCAGGAACTGGGTGGATCTCTGAAATATATATAGTCTTCATTCCCAAACAAACTCAGCATTTATCCAGCTGTCAAACAAACAATGGTTTTGCAAGGGCTGCTTATCAGGTTTCTGGATTTGCTAAGAAGGGCCCCGATGGAAAAAAAGAAAGAAAGGAGAAAACATTCAGACCCATTCTCCCTCTGCCTGTCAACTATAACCCTATCACAATGGTTTTTTGTGAAGCTTTCATCTGTATGACAACACAAAGTACCAAAAGCTCTAGGGTTTCACCGTCACTGTAAAGCATCCTTACTCTCCCAGGCTCAATTAAACGGGATTCAGTTGAATGATACTGACCTCACCAAGCAGAGCCATGTGAGGGAACAATTCATAATTGATGGAAAAATCGTTTCCAAAGACAAAACAAAGTGCCATATTCATTTCTTTTTAAACACGCAGCACTGAGCAGACACAGGTTTCTCCTCTAAGCATTTTCAAAAAGATATCATGGCAAAAGCTCTCCACAGATTGTTTTGAATGGAGAAGCCCTTTAATCCTCAGAGACCTCAAGCGTCTCTGCTTAATTAGAGCCCTCACAGAAGAGCTGGTTCACAGGAAGAATGTGGTCCTCACTAGGCTTCCACGTTTCCTTCCAAGCACGCCAACAGAGTGGTCAGGAGCCCTAGGAGGCCACCCTGGCATCGAGCCCCGTCTAAATGATTCAATGGAGAGAGGTCAATCTTGCTGTCAGGGGACAGCTGGAAAGCTACAACTGTTTAGAAGCAACAATGACACAGGACAAAGCGGGCAGTCATGACCCTCTCCGCCTTGGTGTTTTCTGAAACAATATCCCTCATCTCGGTGTATGAAATTATGGGTCACTGGACACACAGCCTGGTGCCAGGAAGAGGTAATTAAGTTCATGAATGAAACCGAGAAGCAGCGGTCATGCCTAGGAAGTTGTACGGGGACCTGGTATCGGTTCTACCAGAATCACGAAGAGTAACTTATGTTGCCTAACAAGGGAATTCAGAGCAGCACCGTCGATAATGGTGAAAGACTGGAAAACATCTACACAGTCCAGGAATGGAGACGGTACACGTAACAAAAGATGATTGTATAGTGGCAAATCTAAGCATGACTAGGAAGGGGTCTGTAAGACATACAGCTCAATGAAAAGCTAGGGACAGGCTAGTGTTCCGCATGATACCGTTTGTGTAAAAAAGGGGATACAACTACTTCCAGTTTATATATGCACAGACTAGCTCCAAATGGATAATCGTAACACCAGTAACAGTGTTTGTCCCTGGAGAAGGGGCGGGAGGGAGGATGGGAAGGAAACATTCTTTTAACTAGATACTTTCAGGGACTATTTGAATTTTTAAAAACCATTCATTCTTCAGTCAACTAATAATTATTGAAAACCTACTTTATGCTAGACCTGTTCTAGGCCCTGGTTCTAGAGAACAGAGAATAACACAGGTGAGATCTCTGCTCTTAGAGGGCAAATTCTGGTCAGGAGGAACAGGCAGGCAAACCAGCAAACACCAGTGATATAATGCGATATGAGAATGGGGTGACAACATAGTAAAGAAGTAAGTGGCTATCAGAGCAGATGGTCAAGGAGGGCAAGAAGGTGACATTTAAAAAGAGATTATCCTCTGGTGGAATAAATGAAATAAATAAAACCACAAGTCATGTTACAACAACAAAACAATCCAAGAATTGCAATGAAAGGGAAAGCCTAATACCAAAGTCTCAAATAATTCTTAATTCCAAGCAAATACAGAAACACCAAGCTACTTAAATTCACCTTTAAAACAAAAAAAGATTTTATATATTCATTTCTAGAGAGAGGAGGAGGGAGGGAGAAATAGAGGGAGAGAAACATTGATATGAGAGAGAAATACTGCTCCAATGCCTCTCATATGCGCCCTGACTGGGGACCTGAGGACCAAACCCGCAACCCAAGCATGTGCCCTGACCAGGAACCAACCCCAGACCTTTTGCTTTGCAGGGTGATGCCCAGCTGAGTCATCCCACTCAGGGCAAGTTCACCTTTAACACTAGGTGTGAAAAGATGGGGACAGCTCGTTTTGAAATTCCTACTTACAAATCAGAATGAATATAATTGGTCTTTATTCAAACTCCTAAAATATGATAGGTTCACTTTATTCTGAAGAAGACACAGCAAGTCAGTAAAAGACTTGGTTCAAGTTCAATAAATAAAATTACCCTTGGAAGGGTAACGGCCTCTTCTCATCTATTTCCCCCATATTTGGCTCCTGCTGAGATTAAATACCCATTCTCAGTGAGTACTAAGAACTCAGTACCATGAAGCTTAGAGACTATTATTTTTTCCTACCTAAAGATTAAACTTAATGAGATTAAGTGAGAGGAAAAGGGCAGGTCCATTCTCATGTCAAATTCTTATATGTCAGTGACCTTCCCAGAATAGAAAGAACACGTAATAGAACCATAACCTCTATTCTCTGGGCCCACCCTGTGAGTCTTAACACCTCGCTCACACCCTTCAGCTGCAGACTTGGGGCGGGGGCCTTGGATTCTCAGAGGCCAGCTGCACTTACTTGCTCGGAGCACGCGCTGTGAATCACGGGCTGATTGGCAAGGGACAGCAGAGACTCCACCGTTTCCAACTCCTGCTGGTAGAAGGTTTGCACTCTGTTCTTCACGAGGAATTCTTTGGCTTTTTCACTCAGCAAACATGTGAGATTGGTAAGGTTCAGGGCACCTGGATTTTTGCTGGGGAAAGTTTTAAAAAGCCTTGTAAAAAATGATCACCTCTGTTTCTTATTGGTGTGTGTAAAATGGAAACTTAGCTAGAAAACACAACACTATATTGATGTTTGTTTTTGCCATAAAGGACTGTTCATACTACGAACATTGTGTGGTTGTTTAAAAAGAATGAAATAGAACTACAAGAACTAAGATATTCATGATAGCTTCAGAAAAAAAGTGGTAGAATAGTATAAGATATGATCCCATTTTTGTAAGAGCAAGTAACAACCCACAAGATATATGGGTGGATATTCCTGCTTGTGTGCGCGCAGAGAAAAACATCTAAGATGGTATATACACATCAACCTGCGGACGGTGGGAGCCCCTAGGGCGTGGCCCTGAGCTGGAGAAAGGGCAATGGGGGGCTTTCACTTCTCACTTCATACAGGTCTATAGCTTGGCGTGTTTTTAATATAAAAAAATGTGTAACATGTACATATTAAAAAAATGAAAGTGTACACAGTGAAGCTTCCTTTCCATCCTCCTGCTAGTTCCCACCCGCTTGGCAGCCCTCACCTGATTCTGCCTTCTCCCCGAGTTCTTTGATGTATACGTATACTAGAAAATACACTTATGTTCTTATTCCTCCTGCTTTTCTCCCCTGCCCCCACCCCACCCCACCCCACCAGAGTAAAATCAGCCCTAGTTGAGAATGACTGGCATCGTGTTTCCGTAGCTTTTCATCATGATATGTCACAGCGAGGTGTTTTGATTAGGGTGCACCTTGGTGCGATTTTCTTCAGGTTCCTGCCTTGGAGCCCATTGAGCTTCTTGGATCTGTGAGTTTATAGTTTTCATCACGCTTGGAAAAATCAGCCATTATTTCTTCATGTATTTTCTCTCTGCTCCCTCTATTCCTTCAGGGACCCCCATGAGATGTGAATTTTCCTCCCAACAACCTGACAGCCTCACAGTGAGCAGGATGATGGTTTCAATTTGAACCCACGGCCACTCCAGCATCTGGGCTCCCTCCCCGCTTGGCCTTCCTGCAGCGGCCACATCTCCAGCAGCAATTGGCTGTAACTTACCTTAGTGCCTCTTTTTCTAGGGCTGGGCTCTGGAAAGGCTGGTCATAAACTTTCCTGTAGATACTGGGCAGCTCAAGCATCCTTGCAATTTGAGTGTTGCAGACTGGATCATCTACTTTATCTAAGAAGCCATGGGGAAAAATATGCTACAGAAATTACAGGGCATTCAGTTCTTTCCCATGTCCAAGTTGCCACTGGGATGATTAACTGAGGCACTCAGAGGGTCTCCTTCCTTGTGGGATCATGTAGGAATCAGGCAGTCTAGATGCACTAAATAGATCCCAGTCATCCGGCAAAAAGGAATGCAAGGCCCTAAGTGTCACATACTTGGCCTGGATGGACAGGGACTAGGGAGAGCACATTAGCTTATTTGTTCGTCTGTGACAATGGTGGACAGCTGGGGTCCTCCCCGATTCCCAAGCAAAAACCAGCCAAAACAGTGCAGGGGGCATCACTCGGATGATACAGGGCTATCACACATATGATTGGCTATTTTATTTAAGAGTTAACGAACTTAATGGTACTCAAGAAATCTTTACCATTTAGAATATGAACACTCTGCCCTAAATGGACTCATATTTGGAACTTCAAAGTACTTTAGAAACTACTATGTTGCCCAAATAACTTTTTCAGCTATTCATAATAAATCATTTGTTTTCTTTCCCAACTCATTTATACTTACCTCTCTTTAAAATAAATTTAAGAAATGCTTTTTTCCCATAAAACCATGTTATAAGGTATAATTACCTGTCTTAAATAGCTAATATTTTTATTTGAACTTTTTAGAAGTTTGACTTTTAGCTAAACAAGTTTACTGGGCACACACCCAGAGTAACAACCAATTTGGTAGAAATATCTTGTGCTTACAATAAACAGTAGCATGAATTTCTCGCTCTTCTCTGAAGGTGCGGATATAACCTCTGAACCGGACAATGTCCCCAATTTCTATCTTTGTTCTCTGCTCAATGGACTCTTGCAGCTTCTTAAGCTGTGAGGTTAAGCTCAGTTCTCTTGCGCTTGGAGCAGCTGCAGTTAGGGCCAGGCCAGAAAGAGAGAAATGCGTAACATAATCAACTCTACCACATTTCTAAGATAGATTGCACAAGACATTTATTTATTCTACTACAGATGAGTTGTTCTACTATAGGGAATCTGCATAACCTTTTGAAATCCTCCACTGAATAAGACATTGAGCTGCAATCACTCAAAAGCAGGGTGAAGGGAGCAGTCCAGTAGCCCTGTACCGCCAGAGCAGTCAAAGGGCTCTATGTGGTCCTGAGCTGAATTCTCTAAGGGTTCAGCTGGGTTTGGTGGCAAGAGCTCTCAACAACTCTTTCAAGTGTGCTTGTAGAGAGGCAGAGGTCTGGAGTAGGAGGAAAGGGGGCCCACAGGTCTCTGTTTGTGATTCTGTTCATGGGGAAGGCAAATTCACCTTCCTTGGTGCTCAACACCCTAATCATTCACCTCTTGTCTTTGTTGGGTAACTAGGCTAATCTCTCTCTCTCTCTCACACACACATACTCTTTGTCTCTCTCTCTCTCTCTCATAGTACTTAAAACTATAAACTAAAGCAACAGAGTCCACCTTAATTCATAAAAGTGTTGTGCATGATCTAAGCTTACCCTGGTATTATGAGCTTAGCACAATGCCAGATCCATAGAATAAATTCAATAAATGTCAGCTACTTGGACAAAATTATTGTTTTGTTTGGGGTTTTTCATTGGGGATTACTGGATGTAATAAAGTACAAATAGGTCCATAGTTCATTGTGTAGTGTCAGAATGTTTACCAGAAAAAAAAAAAATCCAACTATCCTGTTCTTACAAGGTGTCACCAGCCATGTATGCATGCTTGTAGCTGCTACACAGGCTTCAGGCATTGGGATTTTTAATACCTTAGAAAATATGGCCCTGCTCTGACCCATGCGGCTTGGTTGGTTGGGCATCATCCCTCGAAGCAAAAGGTCACCAGTTCAATTTCTGGTCCAGTGCACATGCCTGGGCTGCAGGTTCAGTCCCAGTAGGGGCAAGTTCGAGAGGCAATCAATTGATATTTCTCTCCTTCTCTTTTCTCCCTCCATCCCTTCCTCTCTCTCTAAAAATTAATAATAAAATCTTTAAAAAAGAAAATATGGCCCTGGCTGTGTGGCTCAGTTGGAGCATTGTTCTGCACACCCAAATTTGCTGGTTTGATTTCCAGTCTCTCTCTCTCTCTCTCTCTCAAAATCAATGGAAACATGTCCATGGGTGAGGATTTAAAAAAAAAAAATTGGTTGGTGTATCTCTCTACACCATACCCCTCTCCTTTCTTGGAGAGTGAATAAAAACTTCATTCTCTACAAAAAAAATTTTTTTAAAGACAAAATGCAGTAATTCCATACTGTTTTATTTTGCTTTTAAGTTGGCAGAGAGGCTGTTTGTATATACATGTGCAATGACATGCTCTCTGTATTTATGTATAAGTCCTTCATCTCTTTTGAATACTCTGTTAATTTCTGAAAGATTTTTAGGGAAGCTTTGTCAAGTTATGCATACTACATCCACTTTCCCAAGTCCATTGCATTTGTTGGTCTTTCATTTCATTTCATTACATAAAAGTTTGAAAAAATCTTTTAGTCTTCTCTTGTCACTGATGATAGCTTTCAGTGCTTTAACAGGGACTCAGGAGAGCTTAACATATATACCCCCATCTTTACCGGAATAAATATACAACTCTACATTCTTTTGGTTATTTTAAGAAAGCTGCAAGGTACGGATGGTGGTTACCCCTTTTCCAACAATGCTATCTACCTAAACCAACAACATTTGTTAAACGCTAGTTTATTTCCTACTACTATATTATTTTTGGTTTGTCATATACGTACTAAGGTTCCTATAAGGAAATGAATCTCTCACTCAGTCAAATTATCTGCTCTTTAATCTAACACAACTTAGATAACTGTGGCTTTGTGATGCGCAAAGGCATTAATTTTCTTTTTAACACATCTACTATACCAAGAGAAACAGCAACCTCAGAAGCTCAGAGGGCTCTGTGTATCCAATAGCCTAACAGCTAGGAATCTAGACACAATCAGCATTAATATCACTCAGCTCACTGGGTTTCTTCAGAAAATACCCAAGTGTTACTTTTTAAAAGCTTTTCCACCTGTATTCCTATCCCCAAGTCCTCATCTACTCAGGCTGAAGTTTTAAAGTATTTATAAGTTTCACTGCCATTATTCAGACATTACAGGTGATAAAATGCTGCACATAGCACTGTTGAAATAGTCAGACTGATGGCTAGTCTGAGAAAAAGAGGCTCAGCTGTCATTTAAAGGGTGCATGACACTACCAAAAAAAGGTGCTCAGGCTGTATAATTTCATGAATATAATGAGATGGTTGGAGCCTGACAGAATTTCATTTTAAGTAGTCTATTCCACACTGAAAGATAAACCCTCTTTAAAATTCTTATATTAAGAGCCAAGCTTTCTTAACTTGCTTCATAAGCTAAGTCCAAAGGGTACATTCAATGTGACATCTATGAGAGTTAATATCATATTCTTATACCTCAACTGACTGGAACGTGATTTTGACTCAGACTAAAATTTGTTTAAAAAAAAATTAATCTTCATTAGTCACTTTCTCGTAGAAAGCTTTAAAACTGAGGGCAAATAAATTAAACGGAGAGAATGGGCTGGTCAGAAAAAATTTAAAGATACCACTTCATATATAACATGAGAATCATATTCAGGCTTTCTCCTTGTTCTCTTACTCTTTTTAGTCTCAGAGCAATTTTCAGTTAAGTCTATCCACCCAGATTGTTCATTTATTTCACCTTGGAGATATTTTATTACTCTCAGTATGGAGAGCAATTTTACCTAAAAAGTTACTAAGTATAAGAGTTATATAACATCCTAATGATGTCATTTCTTTAAGAAAGAGTTGACTCTGAAGATTTAAACAATGTCTAAGACAGGGGTCTGCAAACTGTGTATGGCCCATGGGCCAATCCCACCCACAACATGCTTTTGTAAATAAGTTTTATTGGAACAGAACAATGCCTGTTTGTTTATGTATGGTTTACGGCTGCTTCTGTTACAAAGGTAGTGCTAAATAGTTGCGATGCAGACCACATGGCCCACAAAGCAGACAGCATTTATATTTCCTGTCTGGCTCTGTACAGAAAAAGTTTGCTGAACCTTGGAATGGAACAAGTGTGCATAATCAAACTATACCTTCTGAATGAAGACTGTGACAATACAACAACCATAAAGCTGCACATGATTTTAATATGCTAGACATATGCAAATTCAAATATCTGATTGTCTTGTAGGTTTATTTATTTAAATGCAAGGGTCTTTTTTTTAAAGAACTGTGTATTATATCCTTTATTAATTTTTTAAAAGATTTTATTTATTTACTTTCAGAAACAGGGGAAGGGAAGGAGAAAGACAGAGAAATATCAATGTGTGAGAGATACATTGATCGGTTGCTTCTCACATATTCCCAATCCGAGACTCAGCCCACAACCTGGGCATGTGCCCTGACTGGGAATCAAACCAGTGACCTTTCAGTTCACAGGCTGACGCTCAATCCACTGAGCCACACCAGCCAGGGCAGACTGTCGTCTAGGTTTATTTCTCACCTGTGAGATATCTGCGTAAGTCTGTTGTCTGTCTTAATATTTTTAATCTACAAAGCTTCCTAAGCAAACTTCTACAGTGCCTGATTGAGATTTTCCCAAATCAGTTCATGGGAATGTGAAAGTTATGTGAAACTGACGTCCAAATTCTAAATGTAAATACGTCACAAAATTAAGCAAAGGAGCATCCACTGGTTAGTATAGTCAAAGTAGGGGTTGAGATTCTGATAGGAAGGAAAGAAGAAACCACTCCAAGTACTAAATTCTCACCATGTATAACATGAAACAGATACTAGATGTTAGCTATGACAGCAGGGAATATATATTGAATAACCCCACTGTGTATGGTTCCATACTGTGTATGTCATAAAACAGGGGAAAAACAATGTTCCACTTTCTATAGCTTCTCTAGAAACAAATAATAACAAACAATGCACTATATATTTTTTAATATCATTAACTGAAGCAACTCAAAAAAAACCAACAAAACACCTATTAAAATACTGTAAATTCACGCCCTGGCCTGATGGCTCAATTGGTTGGAGCATCGTCCCCTGAACCAAAGGGCTGCAGGTTTGATCCTCGGTCAGGGCACATATCTAGGTTGCAGGATCTATCCCTGGTTGGGGTACATGTGGCAGGCAACCCACTGAGGTTTCTCTCTCACATCGATTGTTTCTGTCAGTCTCTCTCCCTTTCTCTCTCTCTAAAATCAATTAAAAAAAAACGTATCTTTGGATGAGGATTAAAAAATAAGTAAATAAATAAAACATACTCAAGAAATTCTAAATGCTGTTTCAATTATAGTCAATGTGTTTAGTATGTAATTTTGAAGTTCTTTTTCAGTTTATCTTACTTAATGGCTAACTTCCAAGGAATCCTATTTTACCTTCTCATCAGTCTTAGAATTCCTGGTATATTTGTTGAACATGTAGAAATTTCAGAAATATCTGCATCTGAATGGCAGCATAGAAGCAGTGGCAACCACGCAAGAGAAAAAGTCTTCAAAATCTTCCGTGGTCAAGTGACAGGCCCCAAGCAAGGGAAAACTGACCAGACTAGCTATTTAGCTAAACATCTTGACTTGCGTAATAAGTTGTATAGTAAAAGTGAAAGGCTGACACTCCTAGTAATCAAGTCATATTCCTGCAGGCTTAGAGGAAGGAAGCATCAAAGAAATGGGAGAAAGAAAAACAAGCGGCCCCCTTTAGTATCAGTTTGCAGAGAAGCTCAGTGCTTTAAGTTTGGCTAATGTAATTCATCAGTGGGTCGACGTGAAAATTTGGGCCTATAGCTATTCTGATGAGCTCCCTTGAGTAAAGCCCACTGGTCAGCTGAAAAGCAAAGAAGTATGGCAAACGAAATTACCTGGGGAAGACTCAGTATCATTCAACTTTTTCCAGCAGATGCAGTTTATAACTCCAGTGCTATCATCCACTGCAAGAGAAGTGTAAAAGATTAGAACAGAGACTTGGGCATTGCTGGTGAATCAGCACATTGTGATTGCATTAGGCCATACTGAAAGATGGCCTTTTCCAATAGTCTGGTTGGGCAAACCCCTTATTAAATTCTCCTTCCACCTTTAGACATAATGTCTCACCCTACACCAGTGGGAACTGCTTGTCTGCAATGTCAAAGTGATACATGAGCCCAGTGGAATGCAGTCAACGTTTCACTCACCCTGCACCTCGAGAGTACTTAGGATTCTTGGCTACAACTCTCCGAAAAATGGTGCCCTCGGGAAGTTAAGAGCAAAAATTCCAATGACTGCTAATGCAGAAAAAGCAGCCTCGTTCTCCTACCCAGCAACAAGAGAGCGTCATGTGATCTGTGGCTAGAGACGCTCAGAGTGCAGCCTCCCACCATCATTTGCTCTTCCACTAGCCTGCCGACTCACCTCGACAAAGCATCCAAGCTTCGGGGGGGTATAAGGAAAGCTTAGCACACCACAGAAGGGCGAAGTTTTATTTTCATAATAAAAAAAATCATTACATCTTGGTCACACAAACAATACTGGTCTGCCTTATTTTATTCCTAGTGCAAAAAAAAAAAAAAAATCAAAGAATTCTCATTGCACTTGGATTTATAACTGTAGAGGTATTTGGAAATGTTTGCTTTGGGATGGTAGGTGTTTTCTTTTTGCTTAATTTTTGAAAAACTCAGAGCAGAGGTTGTTAAACATGGGGTCAGTGGGCTTAATGATTTTTTAAAAAGTCATCAGCTAGCCTGTTGCAAAAGCAAATGTAACATATGGGAAACATAGGGCAAAATTTTTTTATTGCTGGTTTAAATCTGTGGAAAGCTGAAACCGAGAACAAGACTTCTTACATGAAAATAAATTCTAGATGGATTTTATTTTATTAAGTGTAGTATAGGCAAACATAAGAAGATGAGGAAAAAATTTGGGTGAATACTGTTCAACCTTGGGCTTTCGGTTAGTAAGGAGAGACTTCTTAGAGCAGATTTAAAAGTCAGAGCTCATTTTTTAAAGTCTGATATTTTTGACCAACTAAAAACCTAATACTGTATAGCAATGTTCCAAATGATGGGGTTAGTGTCTTAAATATATAGAGCTCATACAAATTAATATGGAAAAGACCAAAACCACAGAGAAAAAGTACCCCCCCCAAAAGAATATCCAGTCCATGGAAGATATTTTAAAAATGGCCACTAAACATATGTCAGCACATTAAATTCACTAGTTACCAGAAAACAGGAAACAAATTTAAATGATTTCCTCAACTACTAGAATGACAAATATTAAAAATACTGATATCCTCATGTTAGTTGTTAGAGAGACTGTAAATCTGTATCAAATTTATAAAGAGCAAGCTTGAAACTATGTATTAAATTTTAAAATGTATACAGTATATCCTTTGACTTAACATTGCCTTACAGTAATTTATCCTAAGGAGAAAAACAGAATACAAAGATAGATACATCTTGTATAAGGCCATTCACTGTAATATTATTTGCAGTACTAGAAGTTGAAAATAACCTAAATGTTTATAAATATGGAACTGGTTAAATAAATTACAGTGGCATAGTATATGAGAATAAAAAGTTATAATAAAGACTGTTCATTGTTGTTAAGATATTCATGCTTCACTGTAAAACAGAAATTGTATATATAATCTTAAGTATAATCTAATTTACATAAAACATTAAATAGTGTATTTTGACAAAAATGATTTTAAGCCATTAAAATGCTAATAGCAGTTTCTTTTGGAGCATGGGGAAGGAACCCCATATTCAATGTACACACAGACTGTAAGCCTAATTTCCAAACTATTAAGAGAAGGAAATGTAAATAAGAGTAATGAGGAAATAGGCATATTTCTTCAATATTAGGAACATTTTAGAAATATTAGGAAGGATGTTCACTCAAACACTGACATTGGTTTTTTTTTTACAGATTTACAGGGTTTCACATGAGTTTTATGTATTTATTAAAAATTTCTCTAGCTTTAAATTTTATTTTGTAATGAGTTCAGCTTCACAATTTTATGAAGCAAAAAAGTGAGTAAGGATGTTTTCAGCTTAAAAAAATGTGTAACACCTCTCTAGGCATATCACTTCTCTGGACAGTTTAAAATCATGATTTATAATGGAAAGTCAAAAAATGTTAGCACAGGAATATTTGTTCTAGAATATGTGAGATCATTCTGACCTTGACTGTAGTCTCTCAGGACTCTAGGTCTGAGCTTGAGTTGTTGCCAGGTGCTCTGTGTGCTCTGGGCAATGCCATTAAACCTGACTCTGACTTCCTGCTTTGTCACGTCCCCGGGCAGACCCTCTCCTGGCGCCCCAAGGTCTGGATCCTGGAATGCCCCGGAAGGGGAGCATCCTTGAAGGGTTGCGCCAGGTCATTTCCAGCTGGGCAGTGCCGCCTGAGCTGCCGGCCTTTTGTTTCAGCCCTGGGACGGGTCCGTGTGAGCAGGAAGCACCCCCAGCACAGGCCTGCGGTGAGTCAGGCGCAGCAGGACCCAGGACAGCAGGAGTGGCCGCCTGGCAGGTGGCCCGAGAGCCAAGCTGGGCCCGAGGACAGCAGGGAGAGTGCAGCTCTCCCTTGTAACAGGCTCACATGAGTTAAAATTGCAAAGGTGTTTCTACTCAATTATTTCAACCTTCAGATGCTTTCTGTTTTCCCACAGCCCACAGATGTATCATGCTCGCACGACATCCACTCTAAGGGACATGATTACTGGGGAAAACGCACACAAATCACCTTCATCTTTTTATAATTGGACAGAGCTTAAATGAGGCCCTTTTTGGTCACAGACATAATATCTAGGCTAGTTCTAGTGCCAGGACTGATGTCCTCAAACAGCCTCATTTATTTCATTTAAAAAACAGAAAATTAAAACTTAGATGTTGATTGGGTGAGAAAAAATCAAACTGAGTTAAATATGGATTATATAGCACACTGGAGTGGGTAGATACACTGGACCCACCAGTGGAACCTTGAGCACGTAACTGAGCCTCACTTTTCTCATCTATAAAATGGAAATATCTGTCCTTTCTATTTCAAAAAATTAGAGGGAGAATAACATTAAATTATGCATGTGAAAATGCCTTGTAAATTGAAGCCCTGGCCAAGAGGCTCAATTGGTTGGAGCATGATCCCATACACCATTAAAAAAAAAGGCTGAGAGTTAGATCCCTAGTCAGGGCACATACCCAGGTTGTGGGTTTGATCCTCGGTAGGGGTGTATACAGGAGTCAGTGGATCAATGTTTCTTTCTCACATCGATGTTCCTCTCTCTCCCTCTCTCTCCTCCCGCACCCCCCCAACCCCTCTAAAATCAATGAAGATATCCTCAGGTAAGGATTTTAAAAAATGCTTTGTAAACTGAAAGATACTATTATTTCATCACTGGTATTTGCAGAAAAGTACAGTATTGTACTGTAAAGTACTTGCCCATAGCTGGGAATGCTGTAGGAACTTAGTGACTGCTTGTTGAATTGTCTAAAGAAAAATAAAACCAGTATCTTTGGTAAAATTGAGAAGAGATGAGATCCACTAAGGGGATGCCTGACAAGACGATCTATTTTAGAGTTTTAAACATATATATATGCTGGGAAAAAGCAGAGGACATAAGAAAGCTCATCTCACATGTTTTTTTTATAAGCACAAGACAATCATCCTCAGGAAAATGAATACATGTTGAAGGAAAGCAACGATAGTTTATTGGTGAATTATCAGTCACGCACAGACTACCAATGAAATGTTCTTGGTCACTAATTCAACTGCCTGTCTTTCCCAAAGTAGAGCAAAAACACAGATCCAAGGCAACACAACAAAAAATGACAATGTCAATTACAGCAAAGGTTTGGAATTCAGAGTTAGGCTCTCCACAAAATATCTAGTTTGGCTTCTTAACTACAAAGGATCTTAGAGATGCACAAGGCAATGTACTAAAATGCTTACATTAAAACCCAATGACCTGGCTGGTGTGGCTCAGGGGATTGAGAGCAGGCCAGCGAACCAAAGGGTTGCAGGTCCAATTCCTGGTCGGGGCACATGCCTGGGTTGTGGGCCCAGTCCCCAGCAGGGTATGCATAAGAGGCAACCACACATTAATGCTTCTTTCCCTCTCTTTCTCCCTCCTTCCCCTCTGTCTAAAAATAAATAAATACATACATACATAGTGAAACTCAGTGAAAAAAATCAAGACCCTTGACACTAAAATCATATTCTGACAATTGTCTGGTATCCAAAGAAACACTTTAGTTTCCATCATCATAAGGGAAGGGAAATTTTCTGATAATGTGTATTTAGCCCCTTGAATAGCAAAAAGCATTTTTTAAAAAACTTTTCTGGATATAAATCTCTTACAAATTATTTTTCAGACCTCTTTGCCTTTTTAAAGAGTCTACTTTAATCTAGCCTCTTCTTTTTAAAGGTATCAATACAGACATATATTACCATCCTTTGCTATTTATAGCTATGCTCTTAGGTTTCAGATGTCTGTCTCTGATCAACCAATGATCCTAGACTGCCGCGTTTTAATTCTACTTCCTCACTCCCCAGCAGCTGTCCCTTGGCAGTATTCATCAGCATCATTCCTACCTGTTGCCTCATTTTACACATAGTCCATGTCGTGGGCTCCAAGGGGCTCTCAATAGAGGCAAGTGCATGGGGCTTGCTCTGAAAGGCTGGGTTTGTTTTTTTTCAAATTTAGCATTCAGCTAAGTGGGGTCCTTCCACATAAATTGTCAGACACAAATGGTTCTCACCTCCGTAACTGTAGAAAGCATTTTTTTCTCTCACTCCAATAACAGTTCCCAAGATATCTACTTGCTTTATTGGATGCCCGTTGTAAAAAAAAACACCTGAAATGTAAAAAAAAAAAAAAGACAAGGTCTGTATGAGGTATGATTACATTTTCTGTTTCAGACAGTGTTAACTGTGGGGATGGGGATAGGGTGTGTGTCAAAAATCAGTAGCATGCTGCTTGCTGAAATTCCAGACTTAAGAATTGGCCCTTGACATATGGCAAGGCCCAAGAAATCAAATCTTTTCCTTGGGGGTCATATGGAGAAAGCCGGGCTTTACAGAAGCTTGTACCACTACAGAACAAAGAAAACCAGCGTTGCCCAACTGGATTTGGTTAATTTTCCTTCCACTTGTGAAAATGTAATGCATCTCCCTGTAGAACTCTCATAAGGGCCTTGTAAACAGTCATCATATTACAGAACCAAACAGAGCTCTGTGTTTTGAGGGGCTGGAAAAGGAAAAAGAGGAAACCACGAGAAAGGCTTCTTTGGTTCTTTTACTGGTGCTTTTCTAGGAAATCAGTCATCGTTTCTGTGAATAAGCAGTCACATTTTTTTTTTTTAAGATAAGATAATTAGGTTACCAAACACCACGCTTTGGGGCCAACACACTACAGCTCAAAAACTTCTTGAAACTCTATTTCCAAACCCAGATGCAGAGGCCAGCAGGTAGCTTCCCGCCGGCGGAGGGACCTGAGAGGACGAGCCCTCCCTACCCACTAACACCTCGAGGCCTTTTTCGGACTCAGAGTGGACTCCGACAGAGGGACTCCAGGCAGCAGTGAGTCCTCGATGCTGACGCAGGTCCCACTGCTGCCCTGGCTCCTGCAGGCTTCTGTTCTGTGCCCCAACCCCATCCTTACTGGAATTTTTTGGCTTAAGCTACTTGGGTTGTGTTCCTGTTACCTGAAGCTAAAGAGTCCAGACTAAAATCCTTTTTTTCTATCCACTGTGACTGAATTCTTTACTTTCAGAAAGAGGCCATAAACTTTTACATGGTGACTTCCTTTTTGAAAAAGAAAAGAATTGTAAACAGAGAATCAGTTATCACTTCAGGCATTTGGCCACCTCCTCCCACCAACCCCTGGCCAGAATCTTTCTTCTCCACATCCAAGGGGGACCCACAGTCTGAACCACAACACCCTTCAGAAACCCCAGCCTGGCCTCCGCAGACAGCTCCCTGGTTTTCCATGTGGATAAACGGGCTGGGGATGAGCAGGTCCCAGCAGAGGTCCAGGGGACGGACAAGGAGGCTCTGGGCTCCAGTTAGCCAGAAACTCCAGAAGAGTGAGATGTGGTTTGAAGAAAAGGAAACGTGGCAAATTTAGCCAAAGATGGGCCCCTTGGAGGCATACTTCAAAAATATACTTAAGTAAACTAGAGATCGTGCCCAGGGCAACCTTGGGGGCCATGAGCTGCAATGGCAGGGCCACTGTGTCATCACCAGAGAGTCACCCCCAACAAGGAACATTTGGATTGAACGATGACAAACTGGCTCCACAGATAATCCATGAAGTTTTAAGAGCAAGGCAGTCCCAGGTGACTTCCCCCGAGTTCTTACGACTAAAATCCGGGTCTTAGCTACTACCTTTGGAGCGACCCTCAGTGCCGCCACTGCCTGCCTGCGCTGACCAAGCAAAGGAGAGAGGAGGGAGGTCACGATCTTTGCAGACAACCCTTCCTGCTTCTCCGTGTGGCAGGAGGGAAGTTAAAATTGGGAGAATGAGCCTCACACAGGGACATGGGTGGGGAGTCCTCTAGTGAAGTGCACCCCAGCTGCGCCTTGATATGCCCTTGTGCAGAGATCGGCTATGGCATGGCGCAACTCTGGACCTCCAAGTTTGCTATAGGGCAAGCTGGGGCTCACAGTGGCTGGAGCTCCAGGCTGAGCCAGCCCTTTCTGCTTCCCCAAATGCACTGTACAGGTAATAATTCTTTCTGATTGTGCACCGAGCACAGCAAAGTTAGAGAACATTATTTTCTAAAACCTGACTTGTCTCCCCTTCCGCCAGCCCAGCTCATGGTCTGTCATGGTTGTCGGTCAATTTTGTATTAGAGTTGGAACACTCCACACGGCTTCCTGTGGTTAGTTGTGGCCCACAGGGCACTGCCAATCAAGGGCAGAGCTGGGGAGCCCTTCGGACCTATGAGGGCTTACTGCCTGTCTCTGAAATGTCTTTCCAGTAGGTGGTGGAGCCACAGTGGACGTTCTGCTGGTGATGTCTGAAAGCTTCCGGCAGTCCCAGGACCCTTGAGGTTTCCTTGGGGCACCGTGGTGTGTGCTATCTACGGTAGCTGTTACAATAAAGGACCGACATACTTTAAGAAGGTAAAAAGAGCTAGCCAAAAGGCATTATGACTGGCTTGAGCCTATGGAAAAGGTGATGAGAAAATTAGACTAATGACACAAGCCAATAAAGTCCCCAAATCACCAGAAGCCTAGCCATCCAACGTTACCAACTCCATGTTGGGCAATGCTTGATAAAAATCTGAACAGGCCTTCATCTAAGGACACAAGAGACTTTTTTGAAAAATACAGAAAAGGGAGTTAAACTTTCATTTCATGGACTGACAATGGCTCAACTTCAAGGACAGACACAGTCCCTTGAGATGCAAAAAATCCTTCCAATCCCAAGTAAACGAGAGAAAAACAAAAGCATCACAGAACAATGGAGAACAAATTTGGAAGAAAATAACAGACAGGTTGAATAGAAATACTCCAAGAAAATCAACTGAGGAGAAAATACATTGTGCAGAAATAAAGAAATTTCCCAAAGTGTACAGAAACATGAACTATACATATCAGAAGTACAACCTCACAAGAAGGTGGCTGAAGACATGAAAAAAGAATTGGAGAGACCCACTACCTTCTCTGTCCACACAAGATTCTCTTCTATGGGAAAAGAGCTCAAGAAAATTGGATGGCAGCTCTGTTGAAAGCTTGGCGAGCTAAGAAAAGAAAGTAACCACAAGAGATCCTGGCTCATGTTGAGTTAAAGCTGCAACCTTTCCCAAACGGCCCCTTTGTTCCTGTTGCCTTTTGTTCCACACGCAGTCTACAGAAGCCCAAATGGATCAGGGGATCCCTGGGCCATCAGGTCCCCCAGAAGGAGGGTCCTGCTGGGAGGGTCCCCAAATCCAGGGTCACAGGCAGGTCTGATTTAGCTTTCACAGCAGCCAACCCCTGAACAGCTACAATCACAGCAAAACACTTGCCTGTTTTCTCTCTTAAAAGTGCTTTCAATTTATGTTTTTTAGTCTAACTGCTGTTATTGAAGTTTGATAGTAAAATGCCTAAGGAAGTACTTTTAAGATACAGGTGTATATGTTCATTTAATATAATATTTATGAATACATATTTCTACTTTATTGAGCCCTCTAGAATTAGAGAATATAAGTATTGTATTTTGATTTAAATAAGTGATTCAATATTTATCCTGTGGGAGAAAAAGGGCCACATACTAAACCTGATAAGCTCAGGGGAGGCCTGTGTGGCAGCCTTACACAAAGGGTGGTCTGAAATTAAAACTTAGTAACTAAAAGCGGTTCACGGTGGGTAGTCTTGTCCTAGGCCAGTATTTTTCCCTAACAAAGGTCAATCTTTACCTTAACTGAGCTTGCCTGTCCTCATTTTTGCATCTACGATAACATTCCTTTGAAATGTAAAATTTTCTTTTTTCCGGGAGACCGCAAATCCCTCACTGTTATTGTTTCCATGTTAATTGTTAACTATCTTATGCTCACCAGTGTAAAAGTATTTGTCTATCATTTTACCTTTTATCCAAACCCCGAGGCCCCTGCCTTTGCTTTCTCCCTTCTCTGCCTACGTAATCTATCACCAATGATTTTATGTAACCCCCTTAAGTTTTCTCCTTTGATTCTGATGTGAAAAATGAGGTGCTAATCTGCCATTACCTGGATCATTTTCTCAATTGATTGATATTTCGCCTCCTGGCAATTGTTGTCAGTTTGGCCCAAATAAACTCATAAAAATTTTTATAGGTTTGGACGTTTCTTTGGACAATCTTATCCTTAAAGTTTGACATGGATAGAGACTTTGGAATAATAGACAACTTTGGTGTGCTATGAGCTATAAACAAAAAAACAAAACAAAATAAGATGCCCCAAACCTAACCAGCGCCGCCACCACCACCACAGTCAACCCTCGCCATATTTTTAGTTTAACCCTAAATTCACATGCTACTTTAGGGGAGTCTACATTTTGCAGAGCAATGCTGAAGTCACCCAGCATAAGGTCAAATTTCACAGGTTAAGGGCTCAGTCTCCCGTAAGACTGATCTCACTTCAATCGCCAGCCTCAAATTTGGGGGTCTTCAAGCTACCCACACTTTTAACCAACTGGCTACAAATTTGGGAATTCCCATGACTCTAATTAAGTAAGATAATTTGTTAGAATGGCACATAGAACTCAGGAAGGTGCTATACTTACAACTATGATTTTAAAATAAAGGGTACAAATCAAAACTAGCCTAATAAAGAGATGCATAGGACAAGGCCTGGCAGAGTCCAAGCACAAAGCTTCCATGTCCTCAGGGCATATGGATGTATGATTACCAACCATGAAAGCTCACTCAAGCCTCAGAGACCAGGGCTTTTATTTGGGTTTCCTTACGTAGGCTTGACAGCTTAATTTCTAGGCGCTCCCCACTCCCCGCCCCCCACCTCTCAAGGAGTCAGGCTAAGGTCAAAGCAGCTCAAAATTCAACCCTCTTATCAGGAGTTGGTCTTTCAAGCACTAACAACCCCCATCCTGAAATTACCGGGAGGCCCAGCAGGAGGCACTCATTAGCATAAACTCAGGTACAGTTCAAGGGACCACTTGAATGACAAAGACACACCTATCATTCCAGAAATCCAAAGATCTCCCAAGAACCAAGAACAAAGGCCAACCAAATTCTTTCTTATACATTTGTTTCTTGTTTTATCATTCTTGGGTTAACTTTTGTTATTTTGTTTAAGACAGTCTTTGCTGTTTAAATATTTCTAAATTTTACACAATCAAATTAGGAGTCTTTTCTTTATGACCAACCAAACCAGAACAACAACAACAACAAAAAAACACAAAAATTAAAACCTAGACGTGGCCATTTCCCACTCCTAGAACCCTACAGTTTAATCTAAAGATCACTATGTGAAATTAAGGGTGATATCTGCCTCAACCACAAGGTTTCATATTTAAAAACCACATATAGCAAAGGTCACTGGGACCAGTTTTCCTTGATTTGTTGTTAATCCACCGTAAAGTCCTTCACCCACAGGAAGAGTTAAGCCCATCATGCCACTGATACTGAGGCAGGATAGTTAGATATTAGGAGAATTTTTGACAACTGGGAAAAGGGAAACTGAGACCAATGGTTAGACAAATAGGGCCAAACAAGTCAAGCAATTTACAGCCAGTTAATAAGCCACAAGAGCTTTTCTTCCCTAACCAAGGACACATAAGAGCAAATGGTTTATACTTCTCCTCCCTAACCAAAGAGTAAATAGCTTAAATCGACCTGGTCACGGAGATAGATAACAGAAAACCAAATAGTGCCATTAGTGTCAGCCAAACCCAAGGATGAATGAAATCAGGGGAATAAATAACAAACACCCCAATTAGAGTCAAACAAATCTTAGATGGAGGCAAAGCAGACCAGCAAGTGGTTCCTTCCTCTGTGCACTCATTTTGGTGCATCAACATATTAAAAAACACACCTGGAAAGCTGATGAATGCTCTGCTAAAACCCTCTAAGATTCCCACCTGCAAAGGACAAATTAAAAAGTCCGAAGACAAAAGACCCAGTGAGGGGCTCCTTCTGAAGCACACCCATGGTTTCGCTTTCTCTGGTGTGAAATTTATCCTAAACTCTAAGGGTCTCCACTGAGACTTGCAACCTGGGGAACAGCAGGCAGCGGCAGCTCATCCAGGTTTATATCCTGAACCAGTCTCCCAAGGCCCTTTCCCTTTTCTCCGACTTTTCAGTGAGCTATCCCTGCCCTACCTTGGCTGGCTTCTTTCCTATAACCTTTCTAGAGAACCACAGCAGCCCCACCTAGGCTCTCTCCAGTTGCTACTCCTATCCTAGACCTTCTTTGTTTCACTACCCCCAGCTTAAATAAACGTTCTCTCAAAATCACCTGGACTAGTATTGTAAAAGCTTTCCTGCACCAATAAAGAACACACACATTACATGCCTGCCCGAGGCAGATGCACACCAGGCTGGTCCCTTTCCGGTGACAATAATTCCTTGAGCACCTACAGAAGACCTTTAAGCAAGGCTGGCAGTTGGTGTGAATTAATTTCTTCCTGAGGAGATGAGCTATTTAGAAATCCAGACTGTTCTGGAAAATGGACAAATGAGGGGGAGGATGGCTGCCTTCCAAGGAAAAAACAGAGCATTTCCAACAATAATTAGGAAAAAAAGGTGTGGTGAAAAGTCTATAAAAAAGGCTTTGGAATAAGATCATCAAATACATTTGTATACAGAACTGGAAACACACAAAACATTGCCTCATTAAAACTGTGCATACTTGAGATTCTTGACTATTTCTGACTCACAGCTTGCTATTCATTCAAAACTGCAGAGTTTAACCAAACTTCTCATATAACACAGTAAACACGTGAAGATCTAGCCACTGCTATGTGAATTACTTAAATCTATCCTACAGTATATGTTATATTTTTAGGTACGAATATCCTATCTTTATTGACCACCTCTAATTTTTTTAAAAAGTTATTCCTTGAAACTTACACTTATAATGCTTTGTTGTTCCAATTACTATTTGAGGGTCCACTACATGCCAGATACTGTTCTAAACAATGGGATTACATACGTGAACAAGGCAGATGATGTTTATGTTATTTTGATATAAATTCAAAACTTGATGTGAATTCAAAACAAAACCAAACCACACAAGGAAATCAGGTTAATCCCCATTTTTACAAAGAAGCTTTACAGGTGACTCACATCCAGGCCAGGTAAGCGGCACAGTCAGGAAAGGGAGCAAAGCCTAGGGATGCCTCGCCCAGGGAGCTTTCCACCAAGAGCAGGACCAGGAAAAACAACTGAGTGTGTTTAAATATGAAAGACTTCAAGCCTGGTAAACACACACACACACACACACACACACACACACTCATCAGTACAAAGGTTACTCCCCCAAACATCTATTTTAAAAAAGATTTAGACTGTTTTTAACTTGCATAAAAATAATCTCATCTGAGGGTCAGGGCTAAGTCATTTCCAAAGTCCGCAGGAGGGAAGGCTTTCCTGAAAGCCCTAAGCCCCAAGCCCCTGATTTCTGCATCTTTCGGAGAGAGTGGGGTACAGATGCACGGCAGGGCATCCACCAGGGGACCTGCCACATACCTGGCACCTGGCGGGACTCTTTCAAGTCCAGGATATCCCTGATGTAGAGTTTTGCAAAGGCCAGAAACACAGGATCCAAACCCCACCAGAGGGAAGGGGTCTCCTCTTCACACCCGCTGGTTTCCGACTGCATCGGTAGGCTGGGCGGTGGCTTCCAGCCAGCCCTAAAAGACTCTCATCGCTGAGTCGAGAATCTAGACAGGAGACACAAAGTCAGGATGCTAAGCGGTAAACGTGGGCGAAACAGGCATGGCCCCAAGCTGTTCCTGAGCGAGCATCCAGGGCTCTGCCAGGAGTAAACCCAGGCGTCCAGGACCTGTCAAGACGCACGCCACGGGCTTGAGTTAACAGGCGCTCCCTGTGGAGGACCCAAGAACTCCTTCTGGCTCTCCCCCTGGAATCACCTCTGCGCCACGGGAGTGTGTCTCCTTCCCCACGAGTTGAACACCAACTTTTCACTTTGAGGGGATAAGGCCACAAGTGGTGTACCCTGAAACCCCTTTAATGGGCGGGGTCCAGAAAGGAATTGGCGCCCTTGTGGCCATTCAAGGGTTGGGCACAGTGGGAGTATCTGTCCACCAGCCTGCTCATGCACGTTCCGGCTTCCCGGAAGAAACTGAAATACAAAGCGGAAACGAAGAACAGACTTGCACGTCTGCTTCCCCCGCCCCTCTCGCCCGGTCACACCCGCGCTCGCGCCCGCGCCGCCGGCCCTCCGGTCCCCGGAGCGCGCAGGCGCAGCCCTTCCGGCAAATGGAATCTCTGAAGTTCCGGCGGGGGCCGACACAGCCTGCAGCGCGGGATCAAGGCTCAGTTCTCCACCCAGGCCTTTCCACCCGGCGGTCCGCGGCCACGCCCCGCGGCCACGCCCCTTCTGTGCCTCGCCGCGGCTCCTCCCCACACTCTCTTCCTCTTTTCCAGGTGCCTGCGGTTTGCACCGCGCGCGTTTGACTCTGGCAGTGCTTAGGTTCCTCCACCCGCCCGAACCCCGCGGGCCTCCTTAAGGAACGCAGAGCCCAAATCTCCAAGACCTTGGGAGGTGGCCTTGAAATTTCTGCTGCCTAAACCCCGCCCGCAAGTCATCCTTTCAGTACCCTTCCCACCCCCAGCTGCTGGTGAGGCCCTAAGCCAAGACCTGAGTTGGGACTGGGGTTCGCACAGCTCTTTTTTTTTTTTTTTGCGGGGCTGGGCGGGGATGGAGTGCAGGGGTGTTCCTGTTGTATTAAATAAAGGAGTAAATAAAGCAATACCAAAAGCAGGTTTATGTACACTTGGTAAATGGTCTAACACGCGCGTTGGGACTCTACAGTCTGACTTGGAGATAACGTTAGTATCTAAATTTGACCCAGGGTGTGACCCGAGGTTCTCCTCTTACTGTCTACACTCTGGAGTGTTATACATTTAAGAATTTTGAAAAGCTGACATTTTGGTGAATTATGGCCACCTTGACAGCGCTTGTACCCAGTAGTCCTAATTTAAAATGAGTGTAGATAGCCAGCTCCACTCCCATAAATAAATAAGCTACATCATGACATTACTTGAGATGGCAAGAGTTCTTCCTAATTTACAGGGACTCTAATACAGCAGGAGTACACGTCATTTTGGCAGGCCACTCCTGGGGGCGGTAGGTGGTGGCCAAAGAGTTAATTGCTACACCATTTAGCAGAGAAGGAACTTCAAGCAGCTGGAATGGAAAATGTGTGTCATTAGAATGATGGCATTTAATTACATCCCTGGCCACTGAAGAAGCTAAAAAACGGAGTCCTTGGTGAAGTACAGCATTGCCCAGATTCTACTGCAATGAACAGGTGGGTCTGTGGAGTTGAAGGTTTAATGAAGAGAAGACACCCATCCTAGCAGGGGAGGGGCTCTCCTGGAGCAATAACCCCCAGGAGGACATCTGGTATCAGAGTGCTTCCAGCCGACCTGTCCGATAGGAGAGACAGGCTGGGCGACATTTTCCTGACTGCACACATCTTCTCCAGGGTGGAACCCAGGAAGGAAATCACTGCTGGGTGTACTCAGAGCCTGGGAAGGTTTCAGGAATGACTCTCGTGGCTTTCAGGGGCAGAGTGCTAGAAACAAGGGCCTTTGAGGACTCCATGCTTACTGCCAGCCTTGGTGAGGGCGGAGGGGTTGGCAGTGCGCACCATGAGGAAGGAGGTGGTGGTGAGCAGAGCAGACCACCCTTGCAGTAATCTTTTAAAAGGAAGGCAGGGCTTCTTGGAGTCTAGGGATGCTTCTTTTGATCAAAACATGGAGTCAGTTGCATCTGAAACCTAAGGTAAGATGTGGAGCAGAATTTCCAGACTGCAGAAACATCTAGAAGAGTTTGGAAGGATCTTCTTCCCTGACATCTATTATTAGGACAGATTCCAGTTTCCCCAAAGCACTGCCTAGAAGTGGGCAAAGTGAGTCCTGAAACCATAAATACTGGAGGGCTCTTCAGCTTGGGATTTCAGAAACCTGTAAAGCAGATATTTCAAAACCCAATAGTCTCTCACAGAACTAGAATATATATTTCAAAAATTTATATGGAACCACAAAAGGCCCTGATTAGGAATTGCGATTCTGAGAAAGAAAAACCAAGTTGGAGGAATCACACTATCTGGTATCAAACTATATGTAAGACCATAGTAATCAAAACAGCATGGGACAGACATAAAAGGAGACACACAGATCAAATGAATAGAATAGAGATCCCAGAAATAAACCCACAACTTTATAGTCAATTAATGTTTGACCGAGGAATCAGGCACATACAATGGCATTGGGAAAATTGATAGATATGTGCAGAAAAGTGAAACTAGACCACCTTCTTATGCCACACACAAGAATAAATTCAAAATGGATTAAAGATTTAAATCTTTAGACCCAAAAACCATAAAAATCCTAGAAAAAAACATAGGCAGTAAAATCTCAGACATTGCTTGTAGCAATATTTTATCTGATGTATCATCTCCTCAGGCAAGGAAACAAAAGAAAAAATAAACCAATGAGACTACATCAAACTAAAAAGTTTTTGCACAGCAAAGGAAACCATCAACAAAATAAAAAGACAACCCATGGAATGAGAGAACATATTTGCTGATACATCTGATAAGGGGTCAATAGCCAAAATTTATAAAGAACTTATAAAACTCAACACCAAACAACTCCAAACAGTGTAATTTAAAAATGGGCAAAGGATCTGAATAGACACTTCTTCAAAGAAGACATATGAAAAGATGCTCAACGTCAGTAATCACAGGAGAAATGCAAATTAAAACCACAATGAAATACCACGTAACACCGGTCAGAATGGCTATCATCAATAAATCAACAAAAAACAAGTACTAGTGAGAATGTGGAGAAAGGGCAGCCCCTTTGCACTGTTGGTGGGGATGAAGATTGGTACAACCGCTGTGAAAAGCAGTATTAAAATTCTGTATCAAAAGATTGAAAAGGGAACTGCCTTATGACCCAGCAATTCCACTTCTCAGAACTTATAAAAGGAACCCAAAATACTAATTTGAAGAACATAAGCACACCTAGGTTCATTGCAGCATTATTTACAATCACCAAGATTGTAAACAACAGTGTTGGGTTTACTTCATATAGATCTATTTTAAATGAGTCAAGTGAAGACATTCAGGCTAAGACCTGATAGATGAGAAGGCGCCAGCCACACACAACAAATGCTAAGGAAAGAGCATTCCAGAACAGTCAGATGAGGGGGAATGTCTGGGAGGCAGGGTAGAACTTCCCAGTTCTAGGAACAGAAGAGAGTATAGGGGAAAGTAGTTTTGTAAGCAATTGGAGAGAGAAGAGGAAGGCAGATCCCAAGGGACCTCTTAGGCCATGGTGGGTGGAGATTTTATTCTCAGTGTCCCTATTTGTAAAGAGGGGGATAACACTGTGACGGAGTGGGAGTAGGGCCAAGGTAGCAGGATGAGCAAGGCACATCTGTGGGCAAGCCAACATAGTAGCTGGCTGGAGGGCACTGCTGCGGAAACAGCTGGAGACCGGGTCTCAGCTTGATTTGGAAGGGCTTGAATTAGTTTCTACTTTTGTTCCCTGTAAGGAATAGAGTGTCATTGATTATTAATCAGAGGAATGACTTACTGAATTTAAAAAATTGCAGGCATACCTGCACATCTAGCATACTGTAGTAGCGAATACAAAAATTTGTAAGAAGACTTCTCTACCCAACTTATAGAACCTACTCTAAAAATTGTCTTAGGGATATTCACCAAACTATGTCCAACCTGTAGCCCCGGGCCACATGTGGCCCAGGATGGCTCTGAATGGGGCCCAACACAAAATTGTAAATTTACTTAAAAACTTTTATTTGCTAATCAGTTTTCGTTAGTGTTTGTGTATTTAATGTGTGGTCCAAGACAACTCTTTTTCTTCCAGTGTGGCCCAGAGATGCCAAAAGTTTTGACCCCCCTGTTACTGGGCCCATTGCGGTGGGCATTGACTGCATCCCCTCTCCTCTGGCCTCATCAGCAGTCTTGCTCAGTCCCCTGTGTGTCACCCTCTCCCTTTCTCTGGCTCCCCCTTGGCACAGAAGCATGCCATTCCCTCTATTTAAGTGTCTTCTCTAACTTTAAGAAAACAACCCCTCTAAAGGTCTCGGTCCCTCTAACTACCGCCCTCTTGTGCTCTTGCTCTCTGTTCAAATCTCTTGGAAGAGTCACCTGCCTTCCCTATCCACACTTCCTTTGTCTCTCATTCAACCTCCCAGAATTTGGTTCACCTTAATTTTCAACTAACTCCACCCCAGTCCAGCACTCCACTGAAACGTCTCTCCTAAGGTTTACAATTACAGTCAAATTCTCATATACAATGTATACTTTCCTTATCATTCTTCATCTTTATTTCTGATTATCTAGCATTCAATGTTGATCTGATCATATTCTCTCTCCCCCTTGGCTTCCTTTTTAGCTTCCTTTCTACTTCTCTGTTTCTTCCTTCTCTGTATCTCCTTATTCTATTTTTCTCTCATGTTGATGTTGCCCAAGGTTCAATCTCATGCCCGCTTCCTCCTCACCCAATGTACTCTCTCTGAGTAGCCTCATTCAAACCTATGGCTTCAACTGAACCAATAGTCCAGTGACTTTCACCTGTTCACATTTTACCCAGAACTCTGTCCCGAGCTCCACATCTGAATTTCCAACTGGACTCTCCTGGATACCTCAGACTAAATCTCTTCCCCTCACAGCTCTGCCTCCCTCTTTCCAGTCAAATAAATGCCGCCACCACCCAGCAGTTATCTAAGTCAGAAAACTGGGAGGTTTCATGGATACCTCCCTCTCTTTCGCACTTAGATGCAGTTAGTCACAAAGACCTGTCAATTCTGCTTCTTAAATATGTTTTCCTAATTTAGTCCCTCCTCCTGTTGGCATAGTCTTTCATCATTTATTGCCTGGATTATTCCCACCACCTTCCAACAAGTCCTCGGCCTCCAGCCTGACCTCTCTTCAATTCATGGTCTGTGCTCCTGCCAGGCTGATCCTTATACAATGCAAATTAGACAATATTATAAAATCTTTCAATAACTTTATATAGTGTGCAAAATAAAGTTCAAGTTTCTTAACATTTAATACCAAGTTTCT